CATGCCGCCGCCCCTTCCCATGCCGCCGCCCCTTCCCATGCCGCCGCCCCTTCCCATGCCTCCCTCGCATGCCGCCGCCCCTTCGCAGGTGCTACGCCTTCTGCGGCTGCTGCTGCTCCTGTTGCGTGCTGCTGCTCTGCTGCTCATGGCAGGGCGGACGGCAGCAAGTTGGCAAGACAGGGGGAGCAGAAAGTTGAATTGCAGTGAGAGCAGTGGCACGAGAGAATGAGAGCAGTGGCACGAGAGAATGAGAGCAGTGGCACGAGAGAATGAGAGCAGTGGCATGAGAGAATGAGAGCAGTGGCACGAGAGAATGAGAGCAGTGGCATGAGAGAATGAGAGCAGTGGCATGAGAGAATGAGAGCAGTGGCATGAGAGAATGAGAGCAGTGGCACGAGAGAATGAGAGCAGTGGCACGAGAGAATGAGAGCAGTGGCATGAGAGAATGAGAGCAGTGGCACGAGAGAATGAGAGCAGTGGCATGAGAGAATGAGAGCAGTGGCACGAGAGAATGAGAGCAGTGGCATGAGAGAATGAGAGCAGTGGCATGAGAGAATGAGAGCAGTGGCACGAGAGAATGAGAGCAGTGGCATGAGAGAATGAGAGCAGTGGCACGAGAGAATGAGAGCAGTGGCACGAGAGAATGAGAGCAGTGGCACGAGAGAATGAGAGCAGTGGCACGAGAGAATGAGAGCAGTGGCACGAGAGAATGAGAGCAGTGGCACGAGAGAATGAGAGCAGTGGCACGAGAGAATGAGAGCAGTGGCATGAGAGAATGAGAGCAGTGGCACGAGAGAATGAGAGCAGTGGCATGAGAGAATGAGAGCAGTGGCACGAGAGAATGAGAGCAGTGGCATGAGAGAATGAGAGCAGTGGCATGAGAGAATGAGAGCAGTGGCATGAGAGAATGAGAGCAGTGGCATGAGAGAATGAGAGCAGTGGCATGAGAGAATGAGAGCAGTGGCACGAGAGAATGAGAGCAGTGGCATGAGAGAATGAGAGCAGTGGCATGAGAGAATGAGAGCAGTGGCATGAGAGAATGAGAGCAGTGGCACGAGAGAATGAGAGCAGTGGCACGAGAGAATGAGAGCAGTGGCACGAGAGAATGAGAGCAGTGGCATGAGAGAATGAGAGCAGTGGCATGAGAGAATGAGAGCAGTGGCATGAGAGAATGAGAGCAGTGGCATGAGAGAATGAGAGCAGTGGCATGAGTGAATGAGAGCAGTGGCATGAGAGAATGAGAGCAGTGGCACGAGAGAATGAGAGCAGTGGCACTATTAGAGCAAGGCGACGAGAGCAAAGCGACGAGAGCAAAGCAAAATGAAAACACAATCCACTCCCCTCACTCGCCTCAGTCGCCGCCGCACCTGCCTCGCGTCCTCCCTCACGGCCCGCGTCTGCCACACGCCTCGGAAATGCCTAGCTGCATTTAACTCGCCCGCGTCTGCGCAACGCGCCGCGGACCTGCCGTCGCCTCCTCCATCGCTCGCCCTGCCCCGCTGCTGCTGCGATAGCCGGCCTGCTCGTCACTTCCCCGCTCTGCTGCCCTCCGCTGCCGCCTCACTCGGAAGAGCTATGCAAGAACGAACGGGGGGGTTGAGAGGGGAAAGGGGGGAAAGAGGGGAAGGGAGGGGAGAGGGGGAAGGTGGGGAGGGGGATAAAACAAGAGAGGGGGAGGAGAGAGATGTATGAGTGAGAGGGCCAGCTTGTTGTTGCGCGATGGGAGGCAACCACTGTGCGCTGCCGCCCCGCCGCTTCTTCCTGCTTAGCACCTTCAGCTGCTGAAAGTTGAAGTGCAAGTTAGAGCAGAAGGCAATGAGAGCAAAGGGCGAAGAGAGCAAAGCAATGAAAACACAATCCACTCCCCTCACTCGCCTCAGTCCCCGCCGCACCTGCCTCGCAGGTCCTCTCTCATGGCCCGCGTCTGCCACACGCCTCCGAGCGGAAATGCCTGCCTTTAACTCTGCGGCTCGAGCCGCGGAACCGCTCCGTCACATCGCTCGCCCTGCCCTGCTGCGATAGCCGGCCTGCTCGTGATTTCCCGCTCTGCTGCCCTGCGCTGCCGCCTCACGCGCCGCCGCGGCGAAAGCGAGTAACACTTACTACTAAGCCGCGGCGGTGGCGGAACACTGCTGAGCAGTGAAAGCGGCGCGGCGTGACGAAGGAACAGCGAGAGCGAAGCGGAGGAGCGGCGCGGAATGGCGGGATGACTCGATGCAACGCACGGCAGAGTCGCGGTTGCTAGATTTTGCCAACCTTGGCAATTTCACTTTCGCCGGCGTGACAACAGCGCCGTGAGCGGTGTCGACGCAGTGAGAGCGAGAGACAGAAATAGCGTGGGCGAAGCGTAGGAGCGGCGCGGCGTGGCGGATTGATTACTCATTCCGACGTGGGTCTTAAACAGTGCGCCGCGCCGCGATGCAAAGTCGCGGTGTAATTTCGCTACTAGTAATGTCAGTAGCACTTTCTACATCGGGTAGCACACGGATCGTACATCATGCCTATGCGTACATCATTGACCTAGTTAATCTCTTCGAACGATTTACTGCAGCGCTAGTAATGCTAGTAATCGCGGATGGTGCTGCTCTAATGATTAGCCACGGAAAGAGACGAGTGGGTTGCTGCAGGTGGAATGCTGGCCTAGTTAGGATGAGAGGCAGTGTGGGGTGGGGGTTGTAGATTTCGGATTTTGATGGGGCTTCGTTACGTTACAGAGCGGTAAAGGGGGTTCAATTGAATTCAAGGGTCCCACCCCACTCCCACATTCGTGGAATGCTGGAGCAGGACTTTAGCGCGCCAATACGGATTCCTCAGTTGAATTGCAGATCAGGCTTTAGACAACCACGATTGTGCCACGTCGGTTTTGTCACTCGTTTTTTTTCATATCCAGGCCGTCTGATAACTCCAGTCACAGATGTGTCCGACCGAACGCAAACCAGGGTCCGGAATCAGATGGGTGGCTCAACAGTCATCATGTGCTGGCAAGCAATGCACCGACACGAATCTGGACACACAATGTGTTTATGTGCGACAGTGCTGCAGGACAATTTCCAGTCACACGCCCTCGCCGCTGACGAAACACACGTAGGCAAATCAGTTTGACGGGAGATCGTATTCGTTCGACGACTGTCGACGTGTGAGTCTATCTAATCGTAACCGTCTATTCCACGTCGCAAAACCAACCGACACGGTCGGGGAGAATTTATAATTCAGCGACCAGTTAAAGATTGTAAAACGATTCCTCAGCCTGAGTCCACATGGCGGAAGCTTTGATATTAATCAGATGCATTATCAATAGGTATAAGAAACAAAACACCAAATATAAAATAAGCATACACAAGTCTAATAATGGTAAAATTAGAAATGAGCAAAATAAATAATGAAAAAATATTAAAGCATATAAACTCACATTGAGATTAATATGTCATACGCATAACGTTAATTTTATACAGAATAAAGTGGGTTGCATTTTCAAATATTATGGTTATTTAATTCCCATGTAGTCAACTGATGCACATATATATGTTACAGATTATAAAGTTTGTTAGTACAACCCAACATACATCGTTTTCAAAATGTGCTTCTGTCGAATTTGATAAGGAGTACTAGGTAGCCCCCTATCTGTAAGTGACGGCGGCTGTAAGTCGAAGCGCTTAAAGTGCAGTGCGCTGTAAAACTTTGTACAGGACTCGAACTGTGCTCTGATTGCGCTGTAAGTCGAAGCGCTCGTTGAGTTTACAACTTGACTACACCCTCTTTCTCGCCAGACTGACAATGGGAAGCACTGGCTACAGTGCGTACTGTTGCTTGGACCCTAGCGATCTGGTGCTTGCAACCGAGCCCCAGGTAGGTGGCGGGCAACTGCACTCCAGTAGAACGGTACACAACGGTATATAGAATACATCTTGCCTTGGCGTACGGTTGAGTGCGGGGAAATGTGCATATATGGTATGTTCTGGGATCATTCTGGACGCATTGATGTCAGTACAGCCAGGCCGTCAATATGGCCAATGACAGTGTGGCGAGAAAGAGGGTGTATACCCAACCACGACTCGAGAGATCGAACCGGGTGGGCTTGTGGGGAACTTCATATTTTTTTTTTCAGTTGAAGGGGTTATCTTTCATACGTCCCACCCACGTAGTATAGTACTGGTCTCTTTGGTGGGCTCACGTTTCCATTTACGATTATCGTACGATTTGCGCTTCACTTAAATTTCTTCCTGCCCCACATGTTACAAACCGTTCTGTGGGCGGGGTGGGGTCTGTAAAAATGCTTGCGTGTCAACCAGTGCGGGTCGGTCAGTTCACGACGTGAACTGTAGCATCAAGGCGTTGCCCAGGTGCTTGTTGTTCTACCGAAGGCTCCAGTTCCCAATAGTTTTATTTTTCTTTTCGTTCAGCCCGCAAATCTTCATTTTCTTAGTTAGGATTCGAATGTGCCGCTAAATGAACGTTTTATATTTCCATTTGGTTGTAATAAACCAGCGCCCAGTTTCTATTTCCGGGTTCATTTGTTGCTTTCCAGTTTCTGCCCCCGATGTTTTGGAGGTTGGATTGGATGGCGGGTCGCCTTACCCCTCGTCTGCTCCAACTCTCTGCTTCAAACCCACCCTCCACCTTGCGCCTCTCACGGCTGTTTCCCCTCCACTCAACCACCTCCCTCCAAGTCCAAAATACCTCTCATACTCGTCATTGTATTTGCTAGCACAAGCCCCCGTCATTCCTCACTTCACTAGCAGCTCCCCCGATCCTCATCCCGAGAAGCAGCGTGCAATGCTCCGCGACCAGCAGCGAGCGAAATGCTCTAGACTGCGCTATCTCCCGTCGTGCTTTCTGTCTCACATTCTCGTGTTAACCTCTCTCTCAACCTTTTCGTTATCTTGAGTTAGGTTAAACAACCACAGCTAGACTGCTAGACTTAGAGTAAGGCAACGTGATCAGCCACCTATCCTGCTCACCGCGAGCAGCAGCGAACGGACAATTCGTGAACTGGCGTCGGAATGACGGGCGACGACGCTGCTGCGTGTCCCGTCCCCGCTATTGACTGGCGCTTTGTTTCACGCAAAGCGATCGCGCGGCTGGCGAAGCAGGGCTTAGTCGCCACCGCCGCCGATTCCGCTGACCGCCGCACGATCCGCGACGACAACGAATCGCGCCGACGCCGCCTGCGCCACACTGTTGCACCGTGGGCGCCCGAGCAGCAGCGGCTCTCGCACTGCTGGAGCGACGGCCAGCATCTCTCGCGCTGCTGGCTTCCGCGGGCGGCGGGCGCGGCGCTGCTGGCTCCGCGGGCGGCGCTGCTGGCTCCGCGGGCGGCGCGGCGCTGCTGGCGCGGACAGGGGCGGTGTCGCATTGATCAGAGCATGGCAGCGTCGCAAGGCGGGTGGCGGCGGATCGAGCGCAAGGCGAACGGAAACCATGATCGGACTGCGATCCTAGCGATACGCAACATCGCATGCAGCGACATCGGAACATCGCAGGCAGCTGCGACACTTCAACCAGCGGCGACGTTTCAACCAGCAGCGACATCGCATGCAGCGGCGAAATCGCTGAAAGCGGTGACATTTCAAGCAGCGGCGACACCGCCATGAGCGGCGGCAGCCACGACGCGCTCTATCGCGCGATCAGCGGCGACACTGGTTATCGCCCAAGACAGTCACTGGTTTCAGCGACGAGCGGCGCGCCAAGCTTCCGCGAGGAGTGGCGCGCCTTGCTGGCCACAGATAGGCTCGCTCAGTGCACCCCAGGTGAGGCGTGCTGCTGATGCGCGGTTGCTGCCAGAGTGACTGTAGCACAGCTGCTGAGTGTTCCCCCCCTGACCTCTTCCTTACCCCATGCCTTCCTACCCCCCTCATTTGCTCCCTCTCCCCACGCCTCCCCCGATGTCCTTCCTGCCCACAGCCCATGTCCTTCTTCCTGCTTCCGCGAGGAGCTGCGCGCGGGGCTTCCGCGAGGAGCAGCGCTGTCGGCGGTGACGAGGCGCTGCCGACGGTGACGTGGCCCTGCCGACGCTGACGTGGCGGTGCCGGCGCTGACGTGGCGCTGCCGACGGTGATGTGGCGTTGCCGACGCTGACGGATCGAGCGCAAGGCGGGTGGCGGCGGATCGAGCGCAAGGCGGGCTGTGGCGGATCAAAGTGAGTCACGCGGTATCCGCAATCCGCCCGTGCGCAATCCGCCCTTGCGCAATCCGCCCTTGCGCAATCCGCCCTTGCGCAATCCGCCCTTGCTCGTTCCGCGCTTCCTCTTTCCGCGCTTCCTCGTTCCGCGCTTCCTCTTTCCGCGCTTCCTCGTTCCGCGCCTCCTCGTTCCGCGCTTCCTCATTCCTGGTGGTGGTGCTCCTTGCGCCTCCCCCTGGTGCATTCCCCATGCCCAGGCAGTTGCGCCTCCCCCTGGTGCATTCCCCATGCCCAGGCAGTTGCGCCTCCCCCTGGTGCATTCCCCATGCCCAGGCAGTTGCGCCTCCCCCTGGCTGCCATGCTGTCCTGCCGCCCCCCAAGCTCCCAGCCCCCCTTGCGCATCCCCCATCCCCCACCCCCCTCCACATCTACCAACAGGGCAGCACAGCCCGCCGCTCCGCCAATCACGCAAGGCCACGTGGCGGGCCAGCTCACCTCCTCTGTCCGGTCACCTCCTGTCCTCCCCTCTCCTGCACCACCCCCCCCTCGCTCTTCCCTTCCTTTCTGCCCCCTCTCATCTTCTCCCCCTCCCCCCCGCGCCACCCCTGCCCCCTCGTCGTCCTCCTCCCAGGGGCCTCCGGCGAGGAGACGTCATCTCAGAACAGGCTCGGCACAGTCAGGAGAGAGGCTCGGCACAGTCAGGAGAGAGGCTCGGCACGGGCAGTCTGGTGAGAGGCTCGGCACAGTCTGGCGAGAGGCTCGGCGCAGCGGGGTGAGAGGCTCGGCGCAGCCAGGTTAGAGGCTGGGCACAGGCAGGTGAGGGTCAGCACAAGGAGGTGAGGGTTGGCTCGCTGCTGCTGTTGTTTGCTCTATCCCATCACCTCCTCCGTCCCCCCCCCCCCCCCCCCCCTCCCACTCCCCTTGCGCAGGTGCCGTTTTCTCCTGTGCCAGCCACCAAGATATTCTGTTGCAATGCCAGAAAATAGAAGAGTAGAAAATCGATGGGATTTATCCATGTATGCTTGTCATATACTGAGAGCTAGTGTGGGCGGGCCCGGGTTTAGGCCTAGGCCCGGGGGGTTTCGGGTTTAGGGCTAGCCCTGGGGGGGGAGGGTGTTTCTTGGGGCCAGGCCCGACGAGGTTCGGGCAGAGCCGGAGAGGTCCGGGGCGGTTGGGGCCAGGCCCAGCAAGGCAGGGTCAGCGACCTGCTCACTCGCTCACTCACTCACTCACTCACAGGTGTGCCTCGTCCCGCTCCCTCATGATGCATGCCCCGCTCCGCTCGTTGTACCCCTCTCACTATCCCCCCCTCCCTGTTGAGCTGGACCCGGGAGCTAGGCATGACGAGACGAGCACGAGACAGAAAAAAGGCCAGGAAACAGAAACAGAGAAGAGCAGCAGAAACAGAACTGGAAACGGAAAACAGAAATGGAAGGAGGAGACAGAAGCAGGCAGAAACCAGATTTGCTGCAGGCATGCTCTCGCAGGTCATTTCTGGCCCGGCCAGGCTGTGTGGGGGGCTGTGTGGGGGGCTGTGGGAGGGGGGCTGTGAGGAGGATTGGGGGGTAGGGGGGCCTTAGGGGGGCCTTAGGGGGGCCTTAGGGGGGCCTTAGGGGGGCCTTAGGGGGGCCTTAGGGGGGCCTTGGGGGGGTTTTCACTCCTCGTTATTAGCACTCCTCTTATTGACCACTTTCTGCTTTATAGTACCAAATTCGCTCTCTTGTACCCTCTAATATTAGTAGTACTCTTCCTTGTGCACTGTGTACCGTGTATTACTCAAACAGCTTGTGTTTCCTTCTCTCTTGTACCGTATCATGCATGCAATAATCATTACTTGCTCCACTCAACCTGCCTCTCATGCATGCATGTGTGTGATACTAGATGGTGATAATGGTATTAGCTTAGCTGCAGCAACATATGCTTACGTACCATAAAGTACAGGCTACAGCTGTTTTACCATATCACACAACAGAGCAGAAACAACTGCTCAATATTACTAAACGTATCTATAGGTCATTCATTGTGATGCATCAGGTCTCAGCCTTTGCAACCCGAAAATTTCCGCTGCCTTGGCTCATAATTTTTGCCCGGGGGTTTCTTGCATTCGTAGAGGAGCTTCCGGGCGGCGAAGGAACTTGCGGTGGGGTGGGGGCGGGCGGTGAGGGGGACTGCGTCACCAGAGGCGGGGGTAAATTACCCCGGAAATGTTTCAAGTTACCCTGTGAATGTTCCGAAGAGCCTTCTGTGTTGTTTCCACCTGTCAAGCCAACCCCTGCTTCTAACCTTCCTCTTTCGGCTGTGCCTCGTCCCCCTATTGCTTGCCCCCTGCCCGCCCCACCTCCCCCTCCGCGTCCCCCACCTGCTGCTCCCCCTGCTCCTTCCCCTTCCCCTCGTCCTCCCCTCCCTCCCCTTCCTCCCCCCTCTCCCAACCCCACCCCACCCCTTCCTCCTCCCCCTCCTCTTCCGGTTTCCCCTCCTCTCCCACCCCCTCCCCCTCTCCCCCCACCTCCCCTCCCCCCTCCATCTCTCCCACCTCCTCCCGCCCCCCTTCCCCCACCTCTTCCGCCCCCCTCTCCCCTTCCACCCCCTCCTCTCCGCCCGTCTCCTCCCCCTTCTCCCCCTCCTCTTCCCCCAACACTCCCACGGCTAGAGGTGCTACTAGCAGGGCTACCTAACTGCCCCTCCCTTCCCCTCCCATTCATCCCCTCCCCTCCTCCTCCTCCACCTCCTCCTCCTCCGCCCTGTCCCATACCCCCTCCTCTACCTCTGTCACTCAAAACCGTGCCTTCCCTGTTACCACTCCCCATCTCCCTTCTAGCAGCAGCAGCAGCAGCAGCAGCAGCGGGAGAGGGAGGGCCGGGGAGAGGAGCAGGCTGTTGCAAGGGAGGAGGGAGCACTCCTGGGTTTCTTCTCCCACCCATGCCCATACCTCCGGATTCCCCTGTACCTGCTCCTACTCCTCCGGAACCATCCATTGTCCCTCGCCCTGCTGCTCCTCCTGTCCCTGCAGCTGCTCTTTCTCCCCCCCTTCCTCCCCCTCCTCCCCCTGCTGTCGGAGAGCCAGCAGAAGCACCAGCAGCAGCCAGCCGTTCAAACCGGGCCAGGGCTTGATCTGTAGACGCCTGCAGCTGCTTTTGCTGCTGCTGCGTCTGCTGCTGTTGCTGCTCCCGCCCCTGCACTGCATTTGCGGAAGAACCACTAGCAGCAGCGTCACCAGGACCACCACCAGCAGCAGTAGCAGCAGCCAGCCGTTCAAACCGGGCAAGGGCTTGATCTGTTGACGCCTGCAGCAGCCGCTGCTGCTGCAACGAGTTCAAAGTGCGGCCCCTCTCACCTTCTAACTGCCCTGCTGCTCCCCCCACACCTTCCCCCACTCCCCCAACTCCCCCCCCAACCCCCCCTCCCATTCCTGCCTCCATCCTCCCTCCCACTCCCCCATTCCCTGCACCTGCTGCTCCCCCACCCAACAGCCCTTGCAAGCTTGCTAGCCCTGCCAAACCCCTGCCCAAGCCGCCTACTCCCCCTGCTCCCCCTGCTCCCCCTGCTCCTGCCCCTCCCGCTCCCCCTCCTCCGCCCATACCACCTGTTGCTCCTCCTCCTCCTCCCCCTCCACCCCCTGTCCCTCCTCCCCCCACTCCTTCCCCCCCTCCTCCTGCTCCTCGCCCTTCCATCCTTCCTCCCACCTCCCGTTCAAATCCTCCATTCATCCCACCCCCCATGCCATTTCCTCCCGCCCCCCCACCTAACAGCCCTTGCAGACTAGCCAACCCCGCTAGCCCACTGCCCAACCCCCCTAATCCCCCCTTCCCCCCTGCTGCTGCACCCCCTCCCCCTCCGCTTCCCCCTCCCTCTCCCCCGCCCCCTCCGCCTCCCCCTCCTCCCATTAAATTTCCCTGTCCTTCCCTTCCAAAGCCACTCTCCCCACCGATACTTAAATTCTTCCCACCGGCACTTAAATCCTCCTGCCTTCTGTCACGCTCTGGGCTCTTCGCCCCGGCAACCGTACTCTCTATAGTCTGCTCCGCTAACCACACTCTCAGCGGATTAAGCCCCTTTTTCAACAAATCCTGTTCCGAAGTTACCTTAGACGGAAAACCCAGAACTGAAGAAGGCTGTGATTGGCCAGGAGGGGATGTAGGAGATAGAGCTGCATTCCCTCCCCTAGAATACTCGTTAGAAGCCGTCTCTCTATAAGCACTCTCCGCACTATCACCAGGCTCAAGAGATATTTCGAAAAACACCCCCCCACTTCCACTATCCGACACTCCAGCACTTGAACCAACACTCACTCCCCTCCCCCCTCCTTGCTCCTGCTCCTTCCCACCCCCACCCCTTCCCCCTCTCCCCTCACTCCCCCCACCAGCACCTCCCCAATCCCCATTCCCCATCCCCACATCCCTACCCCCTCCCGCATCACTGCTCCTCCCAAATGCTCCTCCTCCCTCGTCCCCACTCTCCCTGCCGCTTACTCCTCTCTCTCCTCTCTCTCCATCTCTACTAGACATAGAACCCAGAGGAGCAAGGGCAGCTAGTAGGTCCTCCTTAGAAATCGAGCCTCTCCGATTCATACTTAATCCCTTGGGCAAATCGCTTTGCATGGAAACCGAACCACCTCCCGAACCTCCTCCCAAACCTACAAGATTCCCTGCCGAGCGACCCCCCGGACCTCCAGGCAACCCTCCACCCGAGCCTCCTCCCAAACCTCCGGCCAGGTTCTCCGCCGAACCTCTGGACTGCCCTCCGAACCGCCTCACAGCATCCTCCTCCCCACTACTCACCACCTCTTTCCCTCCCATCCCTCCCATCCCTCCCATCCCTCCCGCCCCTCCTCCTTCGCCCCCTCTCGCTCTCCTTCCCTCCCCAACCGCCAAAGCCGCCGCTGCTGCCGCAGCCGCCGCAGCAGCAGCAGCCGAATCCCTCTCCCTCTTCTCCCTCTCCTCCCTCTGAATCCTCGCTAGTCTCTCTTCCATCCCCTCCTCCCACTCACTATCCGTCCCCTCCCACTCCGTCTCAGTCAGTTCCCCCAGCGTTGACCCCCTCCTGTGCCTCCTCCGCCGCCCATACCCCGAACCTACAGCCATCTCCCCGCCGAAGCTGTTTCCCAAGCCTCGGAGCAGGCCCGTGCCGAACCCACTAAACCCACCGCCGCTGTTGCTGCCGGTACTGAGGGGGCTTCCTAAGGGGCTGCTGAGGGGGCTACCTAGGGGGCTTCCCCCTAAGGGGCTCCCCCCCCGGGGACTCCCTAAGGGGCTTTGAAGAGGGCTCCCCCCAAAAGGGCTCCCCAGGGGACCGTGTGCTATTAAGGAGGGCGTGTTAGAAGCACGACTGTTAGAAGCACCACCAAGAGCAGCACCAGCAGAAGCACCAGCAGCATTCCCCAGCCCTAGCCCGAGGCTGATTTGACTCCCCAGACCACCTGCCGTTCCTGCTGCCGTACCTGCTGCTGCTGCCGTGCCGCCCGAAGCTGCTGCTGCCGCCCCCCCACCACTACCTCCCGAAAGACGCCGGACGTGCGCTGAGCCATGCTCGTGCCCATGCCCATGTGCATGCCCATGCCCATGCTCATGCGTATCTGTTGCTTCATTCCCCCGCATGAATCTTTCCTCCTCACCCTCCCTCCCCATTCCCATCCCCATACCCATGCCCATGCCGTTCCCACCCATGCCTCCCCCCATACCTCCCCCCATGCCTCCGCCCATGCCTCCCCCCATACCTCCCTCCATGCCTCCGCCCATACCTCCCCCCATGCCTCCGCCCAAACCTCCCACCGTAGCTGCAGCCTTCTCAATCTCCTGCTTCATCATCTCTGCTGCCAAGCCTAACCTCTTCTCCCGAGCCTGCTGCCGAGCCAGCTGCCGTTCCTCCCGCCGAAGCTCCAACTCCTGGTCCGTATCATACTCTTCGACCTCCACCTTCTTTTCCAGTCGCCACAGCCTTTCCTGCCTCTCCCTCCTCTTCGCCTCCTCCCTCTCCTCCCTCTCAGTGTCGTAATCTCCCTCGGTTGTTTCTCCCTCTGTGTTTGTATCGAGTCCCCTTTCCCGCCACCTGTCCAGCCGCCCATGAACACTCTCATCGTCTGACGCGGAGATGTAACCGCCGCCCCCACCGCCGCCCATGCCACTTGTCATGCCGCCGCCCCCGCCGCCCCCATATGACATGTAACCGCCGCCCCCGTTACCACCGGATGACATGTAACCGCCGCCCGCTCCGCCAGATGACACGTAACCGCCACGCGTACCTGCGGAGATGTAACCGCTGCTGCTGCCATCATCTGACGTAACTGTACTACCGCCGATACCGTAACCCAAACCTCCTTCGTGCTCCCTCAAACCATCTCCCCCAACCCCTCCTGCTGCACTAGAAGCACCACCAGCACCTGCACCAGATTTACTGTCACTACCCCCTCGGTACCCACCAGCAGCGGCAGCAGCAGCAGCAGCAGCAGCACCACCACCACCACCACCACCGCCACCACCAGCGCCACCAGCAGCAGTATACCCATCCCGTTCAGTACCAGTGCTGGCATTAGCAGCAGCAGCGTTGGCAGCACCTGCAGCCCCGTTATCCCCAGGGAAAAACCCGCCAAAGGAGAGAGTACGGGCCGGGGGAGAGAGCGGGGAGAGCGGCGAGAGGGAGAGAACGGAGGACGGGAGAGGAGAGAGCGGGGAGAGTGGGGAGAGAGGAGCGAGAGGAGAGTGAGGGACTGGGGAGGGGGCTTCGGATGACGATGCGGGAGAGGGGGGAGTGGCCAGCCCGGGACTTAGGCTGAATCCAGAGGACACGCTTCCTAGAGGGGAGTTTGCTGCCGAGCCTGCTGCCGAGCCTCCGGCTGGCGAGGCTGTGCCGAAGCTGGGTGCGGCGGAGCTGGTTCGGGAGAGGTGGGATAAGCTGCCGGTCTTTCGATGGGCTACAATTCCCTCCCATCCTCCTCCCCACGCTCCCCCTCCTCCCCCCCCTCCTGCCCCTCCCGCTCCTCCTCCTCCTCCTCCTCCTCCTCCTCCTCCTCCTCCTCCTCCTCCTCCTCCTCCTCCTCCTCCTCCTCCTCCTCCTCCTCCTCCTCCTCCTCCTCCTCCTCCTCCTCCTCCTCCTCCTCCTCCTCCTCCTCCTCCTCCCCCATCCCCTCCTCCTCCACCCCCTCCTCCTGACCCTCCTGCTCCTCCTCCTCCTGCTGCCCCTCCCCCTCCTCCCCCTCCCCCTCCCTCTCCTCCCGCATCACCAACCCGCCCGAGAGTCAACCTGAGGAAATGAGGAGGAAGCAACCTCCCGCCCCCAACCCCAGAATTGGGCGGCGAAAGTGATGCGGTGCGAGTGATCCCTAGGAGATTGCCGCCCAGAGGACTGCCGCCCAGGGGACTGCCGCCCCTCCCCCCTCCAAAACCAGCAGCAGCAGAAGCCCCACCCTCCTCCATAAGAATGGAAGACATGAGACGAGGCACACCCTCCCCTAGGCTGTGAATATTCGTACCACCACCGCTACCACCAGCACCAGCAGCGCTTCTACTGCCATTGTTGCTGCTAGAGTAAATCCCACCAGTTCCCCCTCCAAGGGGGCTAGAACCAATACTACCCCCACCACCACCGCCACCACCACCACCACCCCCACTGCGACTGCCAATCCCCACAATCCCACTCAGGGTCCTCCCAAGCCCACCAGGAGGGGGAGTACCCTTCACAAACGCAGTCAACTCAGCTTCACTCATCGTCACCGAGCCTGCCCCCCGGCCCGGAATCCCCGAACCAAACCTCCGAACCGGCAGGTTCGCCAGCTCAGGGTCTGTGGCCGGCAGCCACGGCACCTGCGGGCGGAGGTTCGGCGCGAGGGAGTGGCGGGAGCGGGAGGAAGGGGAACCAGGGGAGGGTGACCCGGGGGAGGTGGGACCTAGCGAAGTCCCCAGCATATTCAGCCTGTCTACAGCGAATCTCGGATTCGCGCTGCCCCAGGTAAAGCCTCCCCCAGATCCGCCCCGCAGGGCTGAGAGGTCCACTGAGGCGTGGCGAACGAGAGCAGAGGCGGCTAGGCGTTGGGCAGGGGAGCGATTGGCTGGGAGCTGGGAGCGCGGGGGAGGGGTGGGAACATGGAATTGCGTCCCTGCTTCTGCTGCTGCTGCTCCTCCTCCTGCTGCTCCTGCTCCTGTTGTCCCACTGTTTCCCTGCTGCTGCTGCCGATCTCTACCCGGGCTTACCACATTCCCTCCTGCCCCCCTCACACCCCCTCTCGGGCTCGAATCCCTCCCAGGAGAAGCACCGCCCCCAGTTCCCCCCTCCCCACCACCACCTCCCCCACCAGCACCAGCAGTAGGACTGCCCGCCCCGTCCTCAGCCCCACCTGCACTGGGTAGCAACCCTAAGTTCTTAGCCGCTTCTAACCGTTTCATTGCAACCAGCTGGGCGGCAGCTAGCCCTCCGAACCCTCCGCCGCCGCCCAGCCCGCCACTCATCTCCAGCAGCTCGGCAGGTGGCGCCGACATTTGCCGCCCGTGGAACCGCAGCCCGGGGGATAAAGACGCGGAAGCAGCAAAGCCAGAACCCAAACCAGAGCCGAAACCCGAACCAAAACCCGAACCGAAGCCCGAACCAAAGGCAGATCCCGGACCAGAACCGAAAGCAGAACTTGCAGCAGGTGCTGCTACTGGTTTCTGCACTCTTTCTAGAGGGGTCCCTGCAAGCAACGGTGCCCCTGCTTCCTCCCCTGCGCCTCCCGTTTCCCCCAATCCCCCCCTTCCTCCCCTCCCTCCCGTTCCCCCAGCACAAGCACCCCCCCCAGTAACACCCGCACCAGTTAACTCCTCGAACAGAGGAGACGGCGGGGGGGAGGTAGGCGACTCAAGAGGGGTACCACCCCCTCCCCGCCCTCTCCCGCTACTCCTCTCCACCACACCTCCCCCTCCCCCTCCCCCCGCGCCCGCCCCTGCCCCCGCCCCCGCGCCTCCCCCTGCAGCTCGAGCTTCCAGCCTGGCTGTAGCGGCGGCGGTTGTAGCAGCAGCGTGGCCAGACGCGCCAGTGACTGCTGCTGCAGCGGCGAAAAGGGCGGCTTCTGCTGCTGAGCTGCTGCCGGCTGTAGCGCAGCGGCCTAGGGGGCTGGGGCGACGGGGCTTCTCTATGCGCGGGAAGATTGTGGCGAATACTGGCGGCTGCTGCTGTTGCTGCTGCTGCTGAGGTTGCTGCTGCTGGTTCTCCTGCTGTTGCTGGTACTGCTGCTGGTGCTGGTGCTGCTGCTGCTGCTGCTGCTGCTGCTGCTGCTGCTGCTGCTGCTGCTGCTGCTGCTGCTGCTGCTGCTGTTTTTCCTGCTCCCTATTGTGCCCTAACGGGATAAAGCCTTTGAACCTCATCTCCCTATCCTCTTCCTCCTCCTCTTCCTCGTCTTCCTCCCCTTCCTCTTCCCCCTCCTCCTCATTCTCCTCTTCTTCTCCTTCAGATAACCCCTCGTCCTCCTCCTCCTCTTCCTCCTCCGATCTCTCACCATCCGAGCCGTCTCGAGCCGCCCCTCCGCGCCCATCTCCAGGGCGCATACCGTACAACCCTAACACCCGCGACTTTAATCTCTTAGTCCCAAGAATATCCCCCTTACCTTCACTCCCCGAGTCGCCATCAAGCGAGAGCGCGGCCCAACCATCGTCCGAAACGTCATCCTCCCCGACTAACTCCGCCTCCCCCGCATCTTCCGCGTCGGATTGCGCAACATACAGCTTCAAACCTTTCCCCGAGCCGCCCTTTTCATCCAGACACCCTCCCGCGTGTCGATCCGGCACTTTTACCTTAATTAACCTTACTCCTCCATCCCCCCACCACCCGCCTAGAGCCATCTCCGTCGCCCGCGCTCCCCCTTTCGCCTCCCCCTTCCCTCCCGCGCCGCCTCCCCCGGACCGCCCCTTCTTGCCGCCATTTCCAATCGCAACCCTAGCCGCCGCTTCTATCGCGTCCGCCGCGTCTTCAAGCGCCGCGGCGGCGCGTTCCCCCATACGCGCGCTCTCTTCGCGCGCTTTCTCCACGTCACGAAGGACACGTGTCATCTCCTCCTGTAGCCTGGCTGCCTCCCGCCTAGCCCGCGTCGCCAGCCCTGCAAGGAGCGCCACATCCAAGAAATCGCCGCCCTGAACAGGCCGCAGCATGCCGTTAATCGGACGGGCTGTCTTTCTTCCCGTCCCCCCTCCCCCCGCTCCGTCCCCGCCGCTCCCAGTCCTGCCATGGCGGCTTCCCCCTCCGCCGCTGGTTCCGCGCGCTCGTTTCTCCGCCTTTTCTCCCCCCGAGATCCCCCTTTGCCACTGTTTGCGCAGCTGGTTCTCCGCGCGTTCAAGCTCTACGGTTTGCAGCGACGCCGCTTGGATGATCTGCTTGTCGCCCAGCACAGCACGCTTTTCTCCCGGGAAGCTCCCTGCGACTGCTTCACGCGACGTTTTGTGCGAAAGATCTGCGTCGGCGAAAAATCGCATCATTGTCTGTCGCTGTGCGACGTCGCTACTTGTAGGATAATCGCATGGTTACGGTCGTCGCTGATGAGGACCATCAGAGAGCGCAAGGGTGCGAAAAGGTTCGAAGATCAGGCAGTAAGGTTGAATCGGGGATTGACTGTCCTACAATGATTACTATATTATACGCACAAGAAAATCACTAATGGCTGAACAGCTCCTCTTCAGCCCCCGCTCGCTAGTATTGTCAGTCGAGTGTAGAGGAGTCAGCTGAGAAAGGACGGACAAATCACCAGAATGCTGGCAAGGATTAAGTCGCCTATCAGACGCAAAACATACATACGATTGCACCTCGTCGACTATGGTGAGCGGAAGACACGGAACGGATGATTTTGGTAAACACTAGTGGTTCAAGAAGAAACGCAACTCTGAACAAATGATAGCAAGAGTGAGCAATGAGGAATCGATAGAATCGAGGATAGGTGCTGGGAGCTGTTTGTGGTGGTGGTTGGTTGAAGGCAGCTCGGGGCACCTAGGCCCGGTTCGGCAGGCATTATATAAACGGCCTCGGCGGATGGGCTACAGTGAAACGACCACCCTGGAACCTTCCTTGATAAGCGCGTGAATGATTATCAAGGCTCGATATAAGCGGATCTACGCCGAACCTGACAATAATGGAATGCCTCCCGAACAGCCCTTTTAGTGCAGGCGTTTTCACCCGACGGAAGCTTCCACGAACCCAGTTTCTCGGGCAAAGTGCCCATTTTTCAATCCGCCGCACCATGCGGCCTCGAGGCCCCGCACCATGCGGGGTATCAGTGATTCGGGGCATTAAACAGTGTCTGGTCAAATATCTTAGCCAATCACATGATCGCGCGATCCATCTGAGAAACTGCCTACCATCTTCTGCGAAACCGAAACTTCGATCGATGCCATCAATCTAGACCCAATAAATGCCAACCGAACAGTCAACCCGTTTTTTTGAAGGTGCACCCCAGCTACTGTCCGATTTCGAAGCTGTTTCCAAAAAATGCCCATGCGGCATTTTTTGGGGGCCCGTTAAAAATGGCCATAACGGCCATAATGGCCATAATGCCTGCCGAACTGGGCCCTAGAGATTATCGGCTTTCGCGAAGTGTTCTAGGGGCTTCAGCAGCAGGGAGGATGATTAGGTTTGGAAATTGTCAGCATTCGCATCTGAGTTCGTCACGTATTGTAACATTTCGATTTCTCTCGCGCTGCTTCCACTCCCTTACGCTGCGACATGTTGCGAGGTTTTCGCAATTCGCTGCCCTGGTACGGAACTGCGTTGGGAACGAGTGTGGCGTTGTTGGTTGGTCCCTTGAGCAAGACCCCAAGGCTGTCCTTCTTTCACCCTTATCAACCTAAACGACAAATTACAGAACCGTGGCTTGGTGAAGTGGCGCAAAGCTGAAACTGTGGCTCGCAAACCGAAGAAGCACAGGCTTGGAGATGGCTGCGGAACCTGACTGGCTTGGTAGCAACTTCCCGACGATGTGATTCGTGGTTTCCGCCTTACCTGTCAAGATTAGGTTCGGGGATGCAGTTGGGCAGGTTTACAGGGCATCAAACCATGAGGACTTGTTAGGTTCGGCTAGTGCCCTTGGTTCTGATGAGTGGTTCGGTTCGGAAGTCAGCACTATCCGCGGGAAGCTGGCACAAAGAAACTTTAGCCAAATAAAAATATGAGTGTAGTACTAATGATTTCGGAAGTGTAATGCACTCGCACAACGGCTTTACCGAGAGTGACTATTTTGACATTCTATACAAGATCACTTCAGGGATTTAGGGTGCTCTCTAAGCTTGTAGATGCGGAATTGTAGTATCTATCATCAGTCCGTTGCTGCTTTGCAGGCGCGCTCCTTACTAGTTTCGCATATCGAAAGCTCCAATGTGTGCAACTTAGAAGAATCAGTACCACTCTTCCTGGGTTCACTTTTATTCTCCCCTGTTTCCAGCCACAATCACAGCTGTCCGTTACCACAGTAACAATCTTCCCTCCATCCATATCAGATTTCTCCTCATTGCCGTTCTTCCACCTGCAGCTTTTTCAGACCGGCTCACGTAGCTCGCCATTTTCACTGGTTCGCGCTTGTCCGCGACACTTCACGACAGTTCGCGAGCGCTCGCCACATTTCGCGACGGTTCGCCATTGTTCGCCACTATCTCGCCATGGATCCGAGCCCCATCCACGCTCAGGTTCAGCAGTTAATCTCGCGAGCACTCACCGGGATCCCTCCGCTCCCCGCATCTCACGGCGGCCTCGCAAATACTCAAAGCATTGATCCCAATCGCGTCCCCTTAAAGCCGCTCCCTCAGGCTCTCGCGAACGCGGGAAACCCTAACGCGTGTAAGATCTGCCACGTGGACATTTTAGGAGGGCCTAAGTTCCGGATCTGCCTCTCCTGCGGCGCTCCGTCGCATCTATACCCCGCGACTCGGTCGCCCCTGGGCTCGGATCTAAGTACGGAAAGGTCGAGCCGGCAGAGCGCGGGGAGTGGAGATACTAGGAGTAGTGATGTTAGCCGGGGTAGCTCGGTCACCAGCTCTTTACCGGGGACGAGTGTATCGGGGACGACTAATGCGTTCAACGAGAAGAACGGCTTATGGCGAAACACCCGGATTGAGCGGCGGTATCTGATGTCCCTTGAGTTCAAGCCGCAAGACGACAAGGTACGTTACTATATCCAAATCTGTGTTGACGCTGTAACGAGGCTATTGCCGAGTCGATTGAAAAGGTGAAGCATTCCACCATTTCTTGAAACTGGTAAGTTGTTGTGTCGTGGTTTCCTTTCTTTCTTTCTTTCCCTCGCTATGCAGCGTTAAGTTCGATGCGTGCGGTGTTTTCAACAACGCCGTAGTTATCGTCGTGTATTTGCACTCTTGCTGAGATCTTGTTTCTCACTTCTCTCCGTCTTTCGTCAAAGTTTCAACCTGTTGTTGCCAAGCCACGACGTGAAACTATCTGCATGCATTGTTCCCGCTGGAATCCTCTGTCTCCTCCTTTTCACTCTCCTCCTTTTCTCTCTCCTCCTTTTCTCTCTCCTCCTTTTCTCTCTCCTCCTTTTCTCTCTCCTCCTTTTCTCTCTCCTCCTTTTCTCTCTCCTCCTTTTCTCTCTCCTCCTTTTCACTCTCCTCCTTTTCACTCTCCTCCTTTTCACTCTCCTCCTTTTCACTCTCCTCCTTTTCTCTCTCCTCCTTTTCTCTCTCCTCCTTTTCACTCTCCTCCTTTTCTCTCTCCTCCTTTTCACTCTCCTCCTTTTCTCTCTCCTCCTTTTCTCTCTCCTCCTTTTCTCTCTCCTCCTTTTCTCTCTCCTCCTTTTCTCTCTCCTCCTTTTCTCTCTCCTCCTTTTCACTCTCCTCCTTTTCTCTCTCCTCCTTTTCTCTCTCCTCCTTTTCACTCTCCTCCTTTTCTCTCTCCTCCTTTTCTCTCTCCTCCTTTTCTCTCTCCTCCTTTTCTCTCTCCTCCTTTTCCCTCTCCTCCTTTTCTCTCTCCTCCTTTTCTCTCTCCTCCTTTTCTCTCTCCTCCTTTTCTCTCTCCTCCTTTTCTCTCTCCTTTTCTCTCTCCTCCTATTCTCTCTCCCCTTTTTCTCTCCCTCTCTCTCCTTTCTTCCCTCTTCTCAGCGCCGTCACTCCTCCACGCAGCCCTACGAGCACACTTGCGTTGAAACCCGTCTCTGAGTTCGTCTCATTTCTATCATTCCTCTGGCTCCCTCTCTTCCTCTGCTTCCACCCTCCTCCCTCCCTCAGCGTCGCCGCTCCTCCTCAACTCAGCCCTACGAGCGCACTCTCGCCGAATCTCCACGTTGTCTCCCTTTCCTCCCTTCTCCTCATTTTGTTCCTTCTTGCCTGTCGTTCTCCCCATTTCGCCCCTTCTCCTCCTCCAGCGTCGTCGCTCCTCCTCCACGCAGCCCACTGAGCGCACTCTCGCGGAAACCCTAGCCGGCATCAACGCGCCTCCCCCAGATGCCACCTCCACCCGCGGCAGCACCACCACCCGAGGCAGCACCGGCACTCGAGGTAGCACCGGCACGGCTGAGCGCACCTCGAATGCCGCCTCTGCCCGCAGCAGCACGGGTGGACCTCCCCCAGGTGCCACCTCCACCCGAGGCAGCACCAGCTCTACTTCTTCGTCTGGTGGTGGCGCTGGTGCTGGCGGTGGTGGTGTGGGAACAGATGCAGGGGCAAAATTAGCGTCAGCAACAGCAGGAGGCGGAGCAGGAACAGATGCAACCACTGCAGCAGCAGCAGCAGCAGCAGCAGCGCCAGCAGCCGCCCCTCCTGCTCCTTCTCAGGCGCCTGATTTCATTCCTGACGATTTCTTCGCCGCCCCATCCTCCTCCACCTCTTCCTCTTCAACTCCGGCCGCTGCCCCTTCTGCTCTGCCAACGCCACTACCTGCTCCTGGCGCTCTTGCTGCCACGTCAGCAGCAGCTGCCGCCACGTCAGCCTCTCCAGCAGCGGTCCCTGCTATTCCCAGTGCGAGCGCAGCAACAGCAGCAGCGGCCATACCGTCGTCAGCTGCTGCCTCTTCATCGTTCTTTGCTGCCAGCTTTGGATCAGGAGTGGGGCAGCAGCAGCAGCAGCAGCAGCAGAGTGCAGCAGCTATCACTCCAGAGAGGCACAGCAGGTAGGTTTGGCCCGGCTAGCAGGCCTGCTTTTGCGACTCGCTGGCTGATAAAGGTCTTTCTGCTGTCACTGGTTTCCCAACTCTTCAATAACATGCACGCGGTGATTTTTTTTAGGCTGCTCTCAATGATAGATTTTTCGATGCCCCCTCTTCCCCTTCTACCCTGTTTGCTCCATTCCCCCCCACTGCAGTGGTTCTTCTGCTCTGGACTTCTTCTCCCAGCTCAGTGGTATCACAAGCTCTGTCCTTTCTGGCACCGCCTCCTCGTCTTCTTCTGCGCACCCGTCCGGCGCCACTCACACCAATGACTCTGCTGCTGGCATGAGTGCTTTCACCGGCAATTTCGCGGGCAGTTTCCCTGGGAGTCAGCCATACGCCTCCCACGACGGGCAGTTCGGGCAGTTTGTAAAACCGGAGCCGGCGAATCCGGTGGTGCAGGAAATTCTGCTGTCGCTGCCCGACTTGTCGTTCATGCTGGCGGATCACCTGGTGGTCCCTGGGAGGGATCCTGGAGGCCTTAGGGAGTTCAATAGCCGGCCAAAGGTGTCTGCTGCATCTATCATTGCATCGTGCGTTCCCCCTCGGGCAATAGCACATGCTGCAGCTGTGCCAGTAGCAGCAGGAGCAGTTGCAGTAGGAGCAGAAGCAGGAGGAACAGGGGCAGATGCAGGAGCAGCAGGGGCAGCAGCAGCAGCAGCAGCAGATGGTCTTGTTGATTCTTCTGCAAGTGCCACTGTAGGAATTCCACCTACAAATGCAGAAGCTACAATAGAGGCAGGAGAAAGTGGAAAGCAGCAGGTGCCAGCAAGTGGGTTTGGTTCTTTGGGCGATGCTACTTCAGGAAGTCGTGCTGCAATTACAGAATCCGTTGCAAACACGGCATCAGCTGCTCCTGCAACACCTATGGCAGAGAGTTCATTGTCCTCTGTGATTGCAGGAATGTCAATGGGGGGCTTTATGGATGGTGCAGAGGAGGATAATGACGATTGGGGCGACTTTGAGTCATGATTTGAGAAGTTTGGCTGGGCAGAGGGATCTGTCGTTTCATGCTGTCGTGTTTTCATTTATACCTCCGGCGACATCAAATTCCAGACCAGGGCTAATTTTTGGTTTTAAGCAACCCTTATCATCAGTCCTGCACCTTTGCAAAAACCTGATTATCAGTGTGACCCCTTGGGAAAATTATTTTCCATCAGGGTTTTCCATAGTTTCAAAAAAATTTCCCTTATGCCACAGTGTAACACTTTTCATAACCCTGATGAAGTGTTTCTACTGAAGTTCTGAAAGGAAACGCGGACTACAAGTTCCGATCCCGAGTCTTCATCCTTCCGAAGTCCAATCTACCGACCGGGTCACTCCAACGTGAGTATCAAAATTGCTGTCCTTCCTAAGACAAATTCCTATTTAGCAGGACAGTAATGCGAGGGCGAATTGGGGGGGAGGGGGTTAGGGGGAAGGGGGGGGGGGCGGGGGTATGGTACTCGCTTCAGGGTAAAACTCGTTATGAAATCGGTAACCCTGAGTCATCAGTGTGCCTTAAATGTAAACCCTGGCATATCAGGAAAATTCTAGCTCCCGAAAAAAATACCCTAGGCCATCAGTGTGACTACCAAAAACCACCCTAATAATCAGGGTATCAGGGTGATTTACACTGATAAAATTTGCCCTGTTCCAGACCACTCATTAATATTGGATAGCTTCCCAGATTATCTGGTTTCAGAGTTAAGGGCGTGTAAAGTCGCCCAACATCCAATTCGACGGAAATCCGTCGGGCCGTTGTTGGCGAAGGTAACCAGAAAACGAAGCGCGCCATTTGTTTGGCGAGCAGGAAACACCAATCAGCGATGCAGGTTACGCTCGCCAAAAAGGAGCGTCGTTTTCTGGTTACCTTTGCCAACAACGGCCCGACGGATTTCCGTCGAATTGGATGTTCGGCGACTTTACACACCCTAAAAGGATTCCTTGTATAGCGGTGCTCCACCGAATTCTGTACAATGAGTTCGTTGCCCTTCAACGCTATTGGACCAGAGACTGCTGGCGCACGTTTTCCCGCCATGCGAACGCAGTCGCCACCCACTGTCTCCATCGTCGCCACCATCACTCACGACGACACACGAAGCAGAGTGTTCGGTGAGTTCCTTGGGGTTACTGATCACTTGGCATGAGGCCCGCATCGTTCCCCGATTCGCGCCCGAAATATCCTCCCTGAACGTTTTTCCCCTCCCCACTCCCTGAACATTGTGCCTGAAATTTCCGCCTGCGCAAGTCCACGGCGCAGTTTTTCACAGGGTGCTCTTTTTTTCCGCCTGTGACTCGATCTTCTCAATTTCCTCATCCGCTCACCTCCCCCCTCCTTCTTCAGCTTCTCCCCGCCCATCTCCCCCCCGTTTCTTCTCCCTCGTTTCCCCTCCCCCCTCCCTTTCCCTCCCCACCTTTCCTCCCCCTCTTTCCTCCTCCCGCTCTCCCTCCTCGCCTCTTCCCCCCGCCATCCTCCTCCCCCAACTTTCCTTCACCCCCCATTCCCCCACCTTTCCTCCCCTCATCCCCCCCGACCCCACACCAGCAGCTCCAGCATCTCGACCGCGACCACGACGACCACCATCATCACTACCACCCACCACCTTGGCATCCGTGTTTCCCGCTTCTCCATACCTTTCCTGTCACTGCCACGTCACTCGCTCACACTTAGAGATTCTCCAAGCAATCGCTGGATAAGGCGCGTCGCTTGGTGTGTCTCCTAGGTTTGACGGTGTGACCTCGTCTTTAGTGTGGCATGTTCACATCACTCTGTCATAGTTGTCTTCTAGTTCTGGCTAGTACAATTGTCATTAGTAACCGAGTCGTAACGTCCCGCTAAGTTATGTAACAGAAACCAGATCCAAAATATTATAATTGAGAAGCCTCGCATCGTTGAGTACTTTCATACCCGATACAGCCTGATTAGTCAATGCTGACTCGTCAGCTTCGCTATTACAAACCGCCTACGTAACGTCCGAAGCAGGCTTGCCTTGAATCCAACTCCACATTTTCCGCTTCACGCACAGTCACGTTCAACAATCCTAAAATACGGATCGAGGTTATTAACGTCCTCACCATGGTAGAATTGGCCGACGCGAGCTGCTCTGACTGGGACGACTGCTCCAATGACTGCGCCGATGTCCCGCCAGATGCCCCGTCAGCACACGCCTTGTCAGCAACTTCCTCGTCAGCAGATGCCACGTCAGCAAATGCCTCCTCAGCACAGGATCCTTCAGCAGAGGGTTCGTCAGCAGCAGATAACCCTTCAGACTGCAAAGCTATGGTCAGCGGAGCTTTAGGGGGTTCCGAGCTACGATCTGCGGGGGGAGCGGCGGGGGAAGCGGAGGGGGTAGTCACTCCGGTGGTCCCGGAGTGTCCGGTGTGCTTGGAGCTGTACGATCAGGAGCAGCGCGTTCCGCGGCTGGTCGCCTGTGGCCACACGATCTGCCAAGCCTGTGCCCGGAATCTCCCTTTGACTCGGGTAGGCATTAGGGGTGACCCAGGTTAGGCACAGAGGGTGACCCACGATACGCACTTAGATTTTAGTTGATCCGGGTAGCCACTATTGTAAGAAACGATGTAACCCTGGTAACTTCCTCCTCGATACCAATCCAATCATCCTTTCCCTACCTCGTCCCTCACTTTGTTAGCCTCCCACCCCATGCGCCCTTGTCTCTTGGCAGGATTTTTTCGGGAAGAAATGCATCAGCTGCCCGGAATGCCGGTGCCTGGTCGTGTGGAAGGGCCTCGCGAGCATGCCCAAGAACTTTGCCCTTCTTCGCCTCATCGCCGATGCTAAAGACTGCCCGAGAGAAAAACGGGCAGCCACTCACGCCATGGAGGTCTGCCGAACGAGATTAGACTCCAAACAGATGGTTTTCCAAATCGCGGATTTGCTTTCCGTGGTTTCCGTACTTTTCGGGATTCTCTTAGGGATGTGTGTTTTCGTGCCGCTCTGCTGCGTGTACCTAGCTCTGGGTTGGAGCATTGCTGCTCTGACGTTCCTCGCGTTCTCGATCCTTTCCACAGCAGCCGTTGGATTTGCAGCTGCTGGGCTGTTCTCGCTGCTCTCGTACAAAACCCTCAAGTTTCTGAACGTTTGCTCCTGATGGGGGGATTGCTGTGGTGACCGGTCCGTGTGACTGACCACACGGCCACACAGCATCATACTGGTAGTTATTTATATAAGCTAGTGTGCAGCGCAGTTGACATCATGTCCGCGGACTGGCATTGTCTCGAGTTGAGAGCATTGTATCTCCCACGGTAATAGCAATGGCAGGCATGTGTTGTCTCAGTGTATCCATCTTCCCCCTCAGAACGAACAGGACTGTTTATCTTGGTACTCGTCTGCTTGGCGAATGTCACTCACCCGCTCTGGCGTTCCCATTTTATTGATTCAACCATTCCCGTTACCGTATCAACTTCAATTGAATCTCAAGACAGTGAGATCATTGTGATCGTATTGGTGCCAAAAAGTGTTACAATTGCACCAAAGGTTCCCAAGATTGACGCCTACTGTTGTCACATCCAATGGATCTGCAGTGAAGGTCCACACCACATGGAGAGTTGCTTATATTTATTTACAGAGCCTTGGAGAGTACAGTAACTTCGTGCTTTAATCGAAACATTATTGGGTAGCGCGGATATCTTGACGACCTGACGTGAAGCATGGGTTTGGCTTGGCGCATCAGGGGGGATGCGCACAACATTTCAGGGCGTCTGATGATTGCTTGAGTGGAGTTCCCAGTGTACGGTTCAATGTGGTACGCAATGTTATGAAACGATGACGCGTAAGATACCGTACACAACCGCGTTTGAACGTATTTAACAGCGTCATACGAGCCCGCAAGTGTGACCTGGCCCCAACCTCACTTCCCCATCCAGTTTTCCGCACGAACCCGCAAACCCCCACTATCCTCCCTTCCCCCACACACCCGCATCCATTCGCCATACGCACAACCCTCCCGCCATCTCTTCGTAACCCACAACGTGCGCCATCCTCTCATCGCTCTCTCCAGGGATTCCGGAACCCTCGTTATTGTCACGCTTCTCCTTCTGTTGACTGGATCAGCCTTCGATTGGCTGAGGGTGTCCTTGAAATTGCCTGAATCTTCTTGCAAGAAACCTGTTGTCGGTCACTGGTCTCGCCAAGGCTAACAAGAAAAGAAGATCGGTTCAGTGAGATGGATTCATGTTTTCAGCATCTTTCTATACACAGACAACGGTTGTGCAGGGTTTTTAGAGGCAGAAACAACATCGCAACTAAGTTTAGTATCGATTTCCACACTACTCAGTAGCCTAGAGCTGTTATCTTGCGGAGTAACTAGGCGTATTGCTGGTCAGAACAAGCGTGCTTTCTATGGCGTAAGTTACTCCCTAGCAGTCGCCGTTTCCGCTGGAGATTTCTCATCTTGATCGTCGCTGCATACTTGTGAGCAGTCCAATCCGATCCGGTTTTAAGCAAGCTCATTGGCTTAGTTCTTAGTCGCCTTAACGACGTGACTTACTGATAGGATAGCGAGGCCTGGCTCACATGTCATGTGAAGACATGGCGTCTTATTAGCGTTAGCACCTGGCGGTGCGCGGCACCGCAGTTCACTCCTTGTCACCCTTTAAGACCGCTCTGTCCGATTTACATATGCTGCTGACGCCTTTTCCGCGACTTTAAGATCGCAATGAGGACATTATCTGGAACCTTCCAGATTTGTCTGGATCCAAGTCGATAGCTCATTTCAGGTGAGAATTTCGAGGTTTCGTAGCTTCGATAAAACTTAGTCCAAGTTTTATTTGCAGGCGAATCCGATAATACTCATGAACACGTGCGGGAATACTTCACACTTTTGTCTTACTGGATGACTGATGGAATGCTTATATCGAAATACGATGATGGGGTTTTTGTCTAACGCTCTTTTTACTGGCGCAGATCTTTACGTTGTGCTCACCCTTCTGACTTGGAGATTCGCTTCCTGTTAGGGCTTCATAAGTTTTGACTGATTTCAAATCTTGTCGCAATGTTACAAGTCGGCGATGGATCTGCGAGCCTAGCCCAGGCTTTCATTTCCACGCGGTTCGCGAGTTAAATCTCCTGCATTGCACGCGTTACGTCTCGCACGAGGTTCGCGAGTTACATCTCCTGCATTGCAGGAGGTTCGCGAGTTTTTAACCGGCGACACCCACCCACATTCTCAATCCCTTCCCTCCTTCGTATCCCCCCCCGCACTTCCCGTCCTCCCCACACCCCCTCCCCCCGTTCTCCCCCCATCGACCCACCTCCCTGCCGCCCTCTCTTCTCCTCTTTCTTTTCCTCGCCTCGCTTCTTGACGCTTTTCTGTTCCAGACCTCCGTGGACTCCTGCTATTTCCCGCTCTTCCAGCACAGCATATGCCGTGGAACTCCGTTACGATTCGTTTCCCAAGGCAACCGGCAATCTCCATCAACAGCTGTTAGGAAGCGATAGTAGGATCCGTCCTGCGGATGGCCCCTCCCCCTCCGTCTCGGTTCAGCGGAAAGTCCGCGGAGAGGCCTAGCGAAGGCGGACTCACCGCGCGAAGGAGTTACGAATACGACGGTAGTGGTAACGGCGATCGCAAGGGAGCCTTTCAAGCCCTTGACGAGCGGACGGAAGGGAACTCCAAGGAGGGTAGCGCCAAGGACCGGTTTAGGAGCGCGAAGAGCGTCAAGCGGGGGAACTCGCCGGCTAGGCCCCGGCAGGTGGATGGGATAATGCATGAGTACCAGATGCAGAACGCTGCTGCGCGCCGAGCAGAGGCCTCCAGCAACAGCAGGAAGGGAATCGGCGGCACCGTGCTGTTCCTGGTGAGTGGCGAGCTCGTTCCGACGCTATTGGAAATGAAGCACAAGGCAGTTGGATGGGATCGATCGATCGACCATGCATACCGAAGTGATTCAGGTTTCCTTTTTCTTCACTCTGCCCCTCCCCATCCCTTTTCCCATCATCTCCCCTTCCTCCCCGCCCTTCCCCCCCCGCTCCCCTCCTTTTTCAAAACGCACCCCTCCTCTCCCCCGTTTCTTCCTCGGCAGATGATGCTCGTCTGCACTGCAGCAGTAGGATGGGGGGGATACCAGTACAAGCAAGCCCTCTCGCTCGAGGTAAGGCTGTGGCGACAAATGTGGAGTTGAGTAAAGCAGTTTTGAGACGTCTCACATTCATAGGATGGGGAGGGTAACAGTACACGCAAGCCCTCTCTCTATCTCGACGTAAGGCGGTGGCTGCATTAGAAGCATTGCAAAAAATAGTTTTCCTCCGCATTCTAAAGCAGTAGGTTGGGGAGGGTGATGGTACAAGCAAGCCCGTGCTCTCGAGGTAACGCGGTGGCAACAGTTGAGGCGCTGAGTGAAAGAGTATTCGAGAAGTCTCAAAGCAGTTGGCTTGGGGGTTACTAGTACAAGCAAGGCCGTTCTCTTGAGTGACGGAGGTAGTTCCGACACTTGAGGCATTGACTAAACTGTTCTCCAGAAACGGAGGTGGTGCAAGTCGTATCTCCCGTCTTTACATTCAAACATGAGTCAAAATGCTTTTGATCAATTACCTGAATACTTATGTGATCCTTCATAATATTGTTCCGCCCTCTTTATGCTCTCCCTATCGACTTTAGAGGATAATGCAGTGCAAATCACTCATGTGTTTTGAGCCGCTTCAAGGCTGCCCCCTCCCTCCCTCCCTCGCTGCAGTTATAACTCTCGGAACTGCAGCGCATACACTCACACATTCGTGCCCCCCACATCCCTTTTCCCGGCCCCCCTCTGCCTCCCGTCCCCAGCACCCACTCCCGGAACATCAGCGCAAACACTCACATGTTCCTCCCCCCCTGCCCACGCCCGTTCCTCGCCCCAACCTTTCCCCCACCTCCCGAATCCCATCCCCGGCTCTCGAAACTGCAGCGCAAATACATTCGTTTCCTTCCCCTTCCCTCCCTCCCTCCTTCCCCCAATTTCCTCCTCCTCCACCCCCAGCTCTTTCGACTCTCGAAGCTGCAGTGCAAACACGCACACGTTCTTTCCCGCTCCTTCCCTCCCACCCACCCCCCCCCTTTCCTCCCCCCGCTCCTGCTCTCAGAAGTCCTGCAGCGCAAACACTCAGACGCTTTTTCCCCCCTTCCCTCCCCCCCCCGTTCCCTCTCCCCTCCACTCTTCCAGCTCCGGCTCTCAGAACTGCAGCGCAAACACTCACACGTTTCCCCCCCCCACTCTTCCGTCCCTTTCCGCCCTTCCCCCCCCCCCTGCTCCGGCTCTGAGAAAAGCAGCGCAGTCACTCACACGTTCTTTCCCCCCCTCCCGCCTTCCCTCTTTCCCCCTGGCCCCCCTTTCCCCAGCTCCGGCTCTCAGAACTGCAGCGCAAACACACGCGCCTTGCTGCCAAAGTGACTGATGACGTCCCCGCTGGCGTCAGCAGGATCGACCTAAGCAGCAGCAGCAGCAAATGCGAAGAAGGAGAAGATGGGGCAGTGGAAGGTACCTGCTCCCCCTTCCCCACAGAACCCTCTGAAGACGACAGGTTCGGGTGGAGAGAGGAGAGACAGGGAGAGCAGGAGAGCAAGAGAGGAGAGGAGAGCAAGCGAAAGCAGAAAGCCAAGGAGACGGAAGAGAAAGAAGACGAGGAGGAGGAGGAGGAGGTGAAGGAGGATCAGGAGCTATTCTGGCGCAGGGTGGCGCTCCTAGCATCTATCCTCTGCCTCGTCCTCCCTATCTTCATCATCCGTAACATCGACGAAGTCGCCCTGCTCTTTGGAAGAAGGCCCAAGGCGCCAGACGGGACCATAACCGTTGCTGCCTCGTCCGCCTCTGCTGCTGCTGCTGCCTCCGCTGCTGCTGCTGCTGCGGCTGCTGGTGGGTCGCCGTCGGCGTCCTCTGTGGTGGACGAGGAGGTGTCGATGAGCAAGCGGCTGGCGTATAAGGTCGATGTGCTCTTCTCCATGCACTCCTGGGTCAAGGGCGCTGCCCTCCTCGCCGCCACGCTCCTCCTGTGAGTGCTCAACCTTCAGGAGCCTAAAGACCCACCCTTGCTTTCAGAATGTGTGTGAGCTGGATGGACTCTCACTGCCCGTCTGTGGGTCGCTCTGCTCTTCCATGCACTCCTGGGTCAAGGGCGCTGCTCTCCTCGCTGCCACGCTCCTTCTGTGAGTGCCTGTGAGCGGGGGGAACTCTCTCTCACTACCCTTGTATGGCGCACTCTGCTCTGCTCTTCTCCATGCACTCCTGGGTCAAGGCCGCTGCTCTCCTTGCTGCCACGCTCCTGCTGTGAGTGCCTGTGAGCGGGGGGAACTCTCTCTCACAGCCCTTGTATGGCGCACTCTGCTCTGCTCTTCTCCATGCACTCCTGGGTCAAGGGCGCTGCTCTCCTCGCTGCCACGCTCCTCCTGTGAGTGCTCTCTCCTGTAACCACTTCCCTTCTTCCTGATAGCCCCACAGAAAGTTCGGAGGGCTTGGCATTCTTGCTGTAAGCCCCGCTAACATCATATGTTGAATATGATGTGTGGATTTGCGTGAGAGTAAGTATTTTGAGTCGACTCAAAAGTCGAGTCGACTCAAAAGTCGGCTTGGCATTCTTGCTGTAAGCCCCGATAACAACATATGTTGAATATGATGTGTGGATTTGCGTGAGAGTAAGTCTTTTGATTCGACTCAAAAGTCGAGTCGACTCAAAAGTCGGCTTGGCATTCTTGCTGTAAGCCCCGATAACATCATATGTTGAATATGATGTGTGGATTTGCGTGAGAGTAAGTCTTTTGAGTCGACTCAAAAGTCGAGTCGACTCAAAAGTCGGCTTGGCATTCTTGCTGTAAGCCCCGATAACATCATATGTTGAATATGATGTGTGGATTTGCGTGAGAGTAAGTCTACTCTGTTTTTTGCCCCCTGCTCTGTCTTCTCCCCTCTCCTCCCTTCCCCCTTCCTACTCCATCCCCACACCAGCATCGCCCTGGGAGGCCTTGCCCTGTTCGCCGTCCCCTGCACACCAGCATTGCGCTTGCTCTCTAAATCTGACCCCCGCCCCCATCTGCTTCCCCCTTCCCCTCTTCTGACTCCCTCCCCACACCAGCATCGCTCTGGGAGGCCTTGCCCTGTACGCCGTCGGATCGAAAGACCGGATGGATCTAGGCGACGCCACGTGGCGGGCGTGGTCCTACGTGGCAGACGCAGGGAACCACGCGGACAGCCATGGGGTAGGGCCGCGGATCGTGGGCGTGAGCATCAGCATTGGCGGGATGCTGATATTCGCGCTGATGGTGGGGTTGGTGTCGGAGGGCATATCGGAGAAGGTGGACTCGCTGAAGAAAGGCAAGAGCGACGTGATTGAGAAGAACCACACGCTCATCCTCGGCTGGAGCGACAAGCTGGTGGGCTTTAGGGGATGGGGATGGGAATGGGGATGGATGGGCATGGGAATGGGCACGGGCATGGGCATGGGCGCATGGGCATGGGCATAGGCGTGGGCATGGGCATGGGCATGGGCGTGGGCATGGGCATGGGCATGGGCATGGGCGTGGGCATGGGCATGGGCATGGGCGTGGGCATGGGCGTGGGCGTGAGCATCAGCATTGGTGGGATGCTGATATTCGCGCTGATGGTGGGGTTGGTGTCGGAGGGCATATCGGAGAAGGTGGATTCGCTGAAGAAAGGCAAGAGCGACGTGATTGAGAAGAACCACACGCTCATCCTCGGCTGGAGCGACAAGCTGGTGGGTTGCTGGGGATAGGGATGGGGATGGGGATGGGGATGGGGGGCGGGGATGACGGGCTGCCATCTCCGTTGCTTACCACCCCCTGACCACTCCTCAGGGTGTCGCTGCTCAAGCAGCTGGCAGTACCCAACGAGAGCTTGGGAGGGGGCGTGGTGGTGGGGATGATTCCGCCTCTGGCCCCCTGTTCTTGTATCCATCATGCCTTCTCCCTCCCTTTGCTCCTGTTGCTATGTCAGTTCTGCCCCTCTTCCCTTCCCTTATGCCTGTGACACACCACCCATCCGGCGTCGCTGCTGAAGCAGCTGGCAGTGGCGAATGAGAGCATGGGAGGCGGCGTGGTGGTGGTGGTGATTCCGCCTCTGCCTCGCTGTTCTTGTATTCATCATATCTTCTCCCTCGCTCCCCTTTCTCCTGTTGCCCACCGCCCATCAGGCATCGCTGCTGAAGCAGCTGGCAGTGGAGAATGAGAGCATGGGAGGGGGCGTGGTGTGGTGGTGGTGATGATTCCGCCTCTGGCCCTCTGTTCTTGTATTCATCATGTCTTCTCCCTCCCTTTGCTCCTGCTGCCCACCACCCATCAGGCGTCGCTGCTGAAGCAGCTGTCAGTGGCGAATGAGAGCATGGGAGGGGGCGTGGTGGTGGTGATGGTGATGATTCCGCCTCTGGCCCTCTGTTCTTGTATTCATCATGTCTTCTCCCTCCCTTTGCTCCTGCTGCCCACCACCCATCAGGCGTCGCTGCTGAAGCAGCTGGCAGTGGCGAATGAGAGCATGGGAGGCGGCGTGGTGGTGGTGATGATTCCGCCTCTGGCCCCCTGTTCTTGTATCCATCATGTCTTCTCCCTCCCTTTGCTCCTGCTGCCCACCACCCATCAGGCGTCGCTGCTGAAGCAGCTGGCAGTGGCGAATGAGAGCATGGGAGGCGGCGTGGTGGTGGTGATGAGCGAGAGGGAGAAGGAGGAGATGGAGAGCGAGATTCAGAAGATGGAGTTCAACTTCCACGGCACCACTGTCATCTGCCGGTATGTGGAATGCTGCTGGGTGGTGAAGCATGTGACTGTCTATTGGCCTCAGTGCCATGGTACGTGGTGATGAGCGAGAGGGAGAAGGAGGAGATGGAGAGCGAGATTCAGAAGATGAAGTTCAATTTCCACGGCACCCCCGTCATCTGCCTGCCGGTATGTGGAATGCTGCTGGGTGGTGAAGCATGTGACTGTCTATTGGCCTCAGTGCCATGGTACGTGGTGATGAGCGAGAGGGAGAAGGAGGAGATGGAGAGCGAGATTCAGAAGATGGAGTTCAATTTCCACGGCACCACCGTCATTTGCCGGTATGTGGAATGCTGCTGGGTGGTGAAGCATGTGACTGTCTATTGGCCTCAGTGCCATGGTACGTGGTGATGAGCGAGAGGGAGAAGGAGGAGATGGAGAGCGAGATTCAGAAGATGGGAGTTCAACTTCCGCGGCACCACTGTCATTTGCCGGTACGTGGGGTGCGAGAGTCTACTGAAACTTCCAGTCTGAAAGCGTCTCTAGCATGTGCCACAACTGAAAGCACCACTGTCATTTGCCGGTACGTGGGGTGCGAGAGTCTACTGAAACTTCCAGTCTGAAAGCGTCTCTAGCATGTGCCACAACTGAAAGCACCACTGTCATTTGCCGGTACGTGGGGTGCGAGAGTCTACTGAAACTTCCAGTCTGAAAGCGTCTCTAGCATGTGCCACAACTGAAAGCACCACTGTCATTTGCCGGTACGTGGGGTGCGAGAGTCTACTGAAACTTCCAGTCTGAAAGCGTCTCTAGCATGTGCCACAACTGAAAGCACCACTGTCATTTGCCGGTACGTGGGGTGCGAGAGTCTACTGAAACTTCCAGTCTGAAAGCGTCTCTAGCATGTGCCACAATTGAAAGCACCACTGTCATTTGCCACAACTGAAAGCGTCTCTAGCATGTGCCACAACTGAAAGCGTCTCTAGCATGTGCCACAATTGAAAGCGTCTCTAGCATGTGCCACAACTGAAAGCGTCTCTAGCATGTGCCACAATTGAGAGCGTCTCTAGCATGTGCCACAACTGAAAGCGTCTCTAGCATGTGCCACAATTGAAAGCGTCTCTAGCATGTGCCACAATTGAAAGCGTCTCTAGCATGTGCCACAATTGAGAGCACCAGCGTCATTTTTGCGGTACGTGGGGTGCGCTGATCGTCCTGGCAGAGGCAGCAGAGAACGCCGATGCTGCAGACGCCAGGGCGCTCATAGTGCTGGCAGAGGCGGAGAACGCCGATGCTGCAGACGCCAGGGCGCTGAGGGTGGTGGTGAGTCTCTGTTCACCTCTGCACGAACTTCGACTCGACTCCTCCCCCCTCCCCCCCTCTCCCCCCACTTCCCCCTTCCCCCTTCCTCCCCCTCCTCTCCCTCCCTCTCCCCCCGCCTCTCTGCTGCAGCTCCGGCTCGCCCCTGGTACTGGCTGATCTCAAGAAGGTGTCTGTCTCAACAGCCCGGGCGCTCATAGTGCTTGCGGAAGCGGAGAACGCGGACGCTGCCGACGCCAGGGCGCTGAGGGTGGTGCTGAGCCTGACGGGCGTGCGGGAGGGGCTTCGAGGGCACATTGTGGTGGAGCTGAGCGATATTGACAACCAGCAGCTGGTGAAGGTGAGGAGGGGTGAAAAGGGGTGTAGAGTGGGGAGGAATGGTGAGCAGTGGTGAGGAGTGGTGTGGTGGTGGTGAGGGAGGGGCTTCGGGGGCACATCGTGGTGGAGTTGAGCAATATTGACAACCAGCAGCTGGTGAAGGTGAGGAGGGGTCCAGAGCGGTGAGGAAAGGTGCCCCCCTCTCTCCCGCTCCCCCCCCCCCCCCCCCCCCCCCCACCACCCCACCCTCCTGGGAAACACGCTCAGATCTGGGAAACCCTCCTCGGCTTCGAGAACTGCGAGTTCTACACCAAGCACTGGCCGGAGCCCAGCCTTGATTCCTTGCTTCTCCCCCCCTCCTTCAATCTGGCACTGCCCGAACCCCCACTCACTCCCGCTTTCCCCCCTCCCCTCCCCGCCCCTCTCCTCCCCTCCCCTCCCTCCCGCCCTGCCCGGAAAAAAAAAAAACGCACAGATGGTGGGGGGGAGCATGGTGGAGACGGTGGTGGCTCACGACGTGATCGGGCGGCTCATGATTCAGTGCGCCCGCCAGCCCGGCCTCGCCCAGATCTGGGAGACCCTCCTCGGCTTCGAGAACTGCGAGTTCTACACCAAGCACTGGCCCCACCCCAGCCGCTTGCTTGCTTCTCCTCTCACCTCCTTCAATCTGGCAATGCCCGAACCCACTCACTCCCTCTTTTCTCCCTCCTTCCCCTCCCCTCCCCTCCCCTCCCCTCCCCTCCCCTCCCCTCCCGTCCTCTCCCTCCCGCTTCCCCAAATAATCACGCGCGCGCAGATGGTGGGGGGGAGCATGGTGGAAACAGTGGTGGCTCACGACGTGATCGGGCGGCTCATGATTCAGTGCGCCCGCCAGCCCGGCCTCGCCCAGATCTGGGAGACCCTCCTCGGCTTCGAGAACTGCGAGTTCTACACCAAGCACTGGCCGGAGCTTGTCTTCCTTCCTCTTCTCCTCCCCTCCTTCAATCTGGCAATGCCCGGACCACACTCACTCCCTCTTTCTCCCCTCCCTCCCCCCCCCTCCCCTCCCCTCTCCTCCCCTCCCCTCCCTCCCGCCCTGCCCGGAAAAACAAAAACAAAAACCCCAGATGGTGGGGGGGAGCATGGTGGAGACGGTGGTGGCGCACGACGTGATCGGGCGGCTCATGATTCAGTGCGCCCGCCAGCCCGGCCTCGCCCAGATCTGGGAGACCCTCCTCGGCTTCGAGAACTGCGAGTTCTACACCAAGCACTGGCCGGAGCTGGTCGGGAAGACCTTTCGGGAGGTGCTTCTGTCTTTCCCTGATGCGGTGCCGTGCGGTTTGAGGGTTTCTGCACGGACGTATTATGAGAAGAGTACTGAGGCGGTGGGGTTTGAGCTGGCTGGGGGGAGCAGTATTGGTGGGAGTGAGGATGAGGAGGAGGAGGGGGAGGGGGAGGGGGAGGTGAAGAGGGTGCATAGGGAGCAGCATACGCGCCTGTGGCTGAATCCAGATGACGAATATGTGCTTCAGGTGAGTGCTCTCTGTGCGTCAGGTGCTTCAGGTGAGTGCTCTCTGTGCGTCAGGTGCTTCAGGTGAGTGCTCTCTGTGCGTCAGGTGATTCAGGTGAGTGCTCTCTGTGCGTCAGGTTATTCAGGTGAGTGCTCCCTGTGCGTCAGGTCTTAGTTGGAATTGACGCTGGGGAAGGCCAGCGTCAAGCGTCAATTCGGACCGAATTGACGCTTGACGCTGGACGGGGACTTTGATGCTTGACAGTCCCCCAAAAAGTTTTCGGGCAGCCCGAAATCGGTATTTTTTTTTAGTACTTGATGGGTGATCGTGGGATGCTATTTAAGTGGGAGTCGATGGGGGCGGATGGTGGTAATAGTAATGTTGAGAACTATGTATGCATGGGTGAGTGCTCCCTGTGCTTCAGGTGGGTGGTTTCTGTGCTTCACTTGAATCTCCCACTCACCGGAACCACAGCTGCACCCTCCTCCCCCCACTCCGCCCAACCCACTCACCATCTGGCCACTGACCCAGCCTGGGGACTCTGTGCTTGTGATCGCCGAGGACGACGATTCCTATACCCCCGGGCCCACTGCCCGTGGTGCAAGACGCCCCTCTTTCCCCTCCCTTATACCACCCCTTCCCCTCCCATTTCCCCTCTTCCCCCCCCTCCCCCCCAGCCTGAGGACTCTGTGCTTGTGATAGCCGAGGATGACGATTCCTATGCCCCCGGCCCCTAGCACCCGCCACCCACCCCCTTCCCACCTCCCATTCCCTGTCTCCCCTTCCCTTTTCCCCTACCTCTCTCCCTACCGTCCACCCCTCTCCCAGCCGGAGGACTCTGTCCTGGTGATAGCGGAGGACGACGATTCCTATACCCCCGGGCCCACTGCCCGTGGTGCAACGCGCCCTTCTTTCCCCATCCCCCGTACCACCCCTCCCCTCCCATTTCCCTTCACCTCCCCCATGCGTCCCAGCCTGAGGACTCTGTCCTGGTGATAGCTGAGGTCGACGATCCTATACCCCCGGGCCCGCTGCCCGTGGTGCAAGACGCCTTTCCCCTCCCTTATACCACCCCTTCCCCTCCCATTTCCCCTCCCCCCTCCCTCCTCCCCAGCCTGAGGACTCTGTCCTGGTGATAGCTGAGGACGACGATTCCTATACCCCCGGGCCCACTGCCCGTGGTGCAAGACGCCCCTCTTTCCCCTCCCTTATACCACCCCTTCCCCTCCCATTTCCCCTCTTCCCCCCCCCTCCTCCCCAGCCTGAGGACTCTGTCCTGGTGATCGCGGAGGACGACGATTCCTATACCCCCGGCCCACCAGGACTTCCTCCCTCCCACCCCCCCCCCCCTCCCACCTCCCCATCCCGCTCCCCCTCCCTCTTCCCCCCCCCCCCCCCCCCCCCCAGCCTGAGGACTCTGTCCTGGTGATAGCGGAGGACGACGATTCCTATACCCCCGGGCCCGCTGCCCGTGGTGCAACGCGCCCTTCTTTCCCCATCCCCCGTACCACCCCTCCCCTCCCATTTCCCTTCACCCCCCCTTGTGTCTCCCCCAGCCTGAGGACTCTGTCCTGGTGATAGCTGAGGATGACGATTCCTATACCCCCGGCCCGCTGCCCGTGGTGCATGACGCCCCGCTGCCTGACATCGAAACCCCGCCGAAGCTGCCCGAAAAAATACTGTTCTGCGGCTGGCGGCGCGATATTGACGACATGATCACGGTGAGGGAGCGGGGGGAGGGGAGGGAAGGGGGGGAAGGGGGGGAAAGGGCGGGGAGAAGATGGTAGGGGAGATGTTGGGGTGTGGGGAGTGTGGCTGGCGGCGCGATATTGATGACATGATTACGGTGAGGAATAGGGGGCGAGTGGGGGGAGAAGGAGGGAAAAGGTTGGAGGGGCGAAGGGGTCGGGAGGAAGGGACGGTGGGGGTGAGGTGCGAAGGAGGCGGGGGCGCTTGTGGTGCGATACTGATGACATGATAACGGACGGTGAGGATGAGGGGTGAGGGGGGAGGGGGGGAAAGAGGGGGGAGGGTAGGGGAAGTGGGGCAGGGGCTGGCGAAACGATATAGACGATATGATCACGGTGAGGATGAGAGGGGATGGGGAGGGCTCGGGGGAATGGAATGGGGAAGATGGGTTCGTAGCGTGGGGATCAGAGCTGTGGATCTTCTCCGACGTGCCAGGCCAGTGGAGGAGAGGGAGGCGCGCCTCATAGAGGGCGGGCTGAACCCTCCTCTCTCTCCCTGCAGCCGTGAACCTTAAACCCCAAACCACCAACTCCCTTCGCTCCTGCAGGTACTGGAGGCGTTCTTGGCGCGGGGCTCAGAGCTGTGGATATTCTCAGACGTGCCCGTGGAGGAGAGGGAGGCGCGCCTCATAGAGGGCGGGCTGAACCCCCCTCCCTCCCTGCAACCTCAAACCCAAAACCCCAACCCAAATCCTAATCCCTACCCTGTCTCCTGCAGGTGCTAGAGGCGTTCTTGGCGCGGGGATCGGAGCTGTGGATATTCTCAGACGTCCCGGTGGAGGAGAGGGAGGCGCGCCTCATAGAGGGCGGGCTGAACCCCAGCGAGCTGGAGAACGTGACGCTCGTGCACCGCATGGGGAATGCCGTGATCCGCAGGCATCTGGAATTTCTCCCTCTCGAAACCTTTGACTCGGTAAGGCCGCTTGTTGTGGGTTCTGAATGAGTCTTGGCGGCGTGTGTCTGTGCCTCATAGAGGGCGGGCTGAACCCCAGTGAGCTGGTAAGGGGGGTATGCATGTATCCACCTACCCTAACCCCAGCGAGCTGGAGAATGTCACTCTCGTGCACCGCATGGGCAACGCTGTCATCCGCCGGCACCTCGAGTTCCTGCCGCTATAGACCTTCGGCTACCTTCACTCCCCTATGCCCCTCTCCCCCCTCCCCCCTTCTCAGATCCTCATTCTAGTGCACGAGGGCCTGGAGGATTCCATCACAACTGCGACTCGGACACTCCCTTACCCTGCCCTTTTTACCCCTCCCCTACTTCTCTCCCCTATTCCCCTCCCCTCCCCCCCTCCCCCCCTCCCCCCTTCCCAGATCCTCATTCTAGCGGACGAGGGGCTGGAAGACTCCATCATCAACAGTGACGCGCGCTCTCCCTTACCCTGCCCTTGTTTCCCCTCCCCTACTTCCAACCCGCCTCTGCTACTCCCTTCCTCCTCTCTGCTGCTCCCCTCCCCCTCCCCCCCTTCCCAGATCCTCATCCTAGCGGACGAGGGGCTGGAAGACTCCATCATCAACTGCGATTCGCGCTCCCTCGCCACGCTGCTGCTCATCAGAGACATCCAGGTGGGTGCTATGCTACGTGGGGGGGGTGGGGGCTACCTGTAGTTTGGGTGGGAGTGTAGGTGCTAGTTGGGTTGGGGAAGGTTGGTGCTGTTTCCATTATCAACTGCGATTCACGCTCCCTCGCCACGCTGCTGCTCATCAGAGACATCCAGGTGGGTGCCGGTGTTGCCTGGGGGAGATGGGTGCTGGTGCAGGTGCTGCCTGGGGGAGGCAGGGAGCCTCCTGGTGCTCCCTCGCCACGCTGCTGCTCATCAGAGACATCCAGGTGGTTGGGGTGCTATGTGGGGGAGGTGCTATCTGTTCTAGGCAGAATATGGTTCACATGCATGCCTGCCAGCTACGGTGAGCTCCCTCGCCATGCTGCTGCTTACCAGAGGCATCCAGGTGGGTGCTACGTGTTGGAGGTGCTATCTGTTCTAGGCGTAATGGATCACATGCATACCACCTTCCATGAGCTCCCTCGCCATGCTGCCGATTTCTCGGCACACTGCTGTTACCAGAGGCATCCAGGTGGGTATCCAGCTTCTGTGGCCTCCCTCGCCTTTTGAGGCGCCTCAAAAGTCGTATCCAGCTTCTGTGGCCTGCCTCGCCTTTTGAGGCGCCTCAAAAGTCGTCTCCAGCTTCTGTGGCCTCCATCGCTTCGCTGCTGCTTACCAGAGGCATCCAGGTGGGTGCTGGTGCAGGTGCAGGTGACTTTTGAGGCGCCTCAAAAGTCTTCCCAGAGGCATCCAGGTGGGTATCCAGCTTCTGTGGCCTCCCTCGCTTCGCTGCGGCTTACCAGAGGCATCCAGGTGGGTGCTGTGTGGGAGAGGTGTTATCTGTGAGCTAGGCATAATGGATCATTCACGTGCATTCCAGTTTCTGTGGCCTCCCTCGCTTCGCTGCGGCTTACCAGAGGCATCCAGGTGGGTGCTGGTTCTCCGTCTCCCATTCTCTCCAATCCCAGTTCCGCCTTCCGCCAGTCAAAGCGCATGCCAGCAGGCAGGAAGGGCCGCCGACCCCTCATCCCATCCCCCTCATCCCATCCCCCTCATCCCATCCCCCTCATCCCATCCCCCTCATCCCATCCCCCTCATCCCATCCCCCTCATCCCATCCCCCTCATCCCATCCCCCTCATCCCATCCCCCTCATCCCATCCCCCTCATCACATCCCCCTCATCCCATCCCCCTCATCCCATCCCCCTCATCCCATCCCCCTCATCCCATCCCCCTCATCCCATCCCCCTCATCCCATCCCCTACATCCCATCCCCTACATCCCATCCCATCCCCCTCATCCCATCCCCCTCATCCCATCCCCCTCATCCCATCCCCCTCATCCCATCCCCCTCATCCCATCCCCCTCATCCCATCCCCCTCATCCCACCCCTCCCTGCTTCCCTCTGTCCTATGCCCCCTCCACCTTCTCCCACCCCCTCTCCTTCTCCTATCCCCCCTCCCTTGCCTATCCCCTCCGCCCTCCGCCCTCCCTTCCCCCCTCTGTCAGTCCAAGCGCATGCCGGCGGGCAGCAACGGCCATCGGCGCAGCAACTCTTCCATCACGTACCCGCGCCCCACGTCCACGTCCTCGTGGGTGGGGCAGATGCAGCAGGCGTCGCAGCAGTCCATCGTCATCTCGGAAATCCTCGACTCGCGCACGCGCTCCCTTGTCTCCGTCTCCAAGATCAGCGATTATGTACTCAGCAATGAGCTGGTTTCCATGGCTCTAGCGATGGTACGTGTGTGGGTTTTTGCCTCACCTCCACTTCTCCTCCTCTCGCACCGTCTCGCCTCCTCTTGAGGTCAACTGGGTTCGCTCCCTTGCTTGCTGTTTCCATCCCCATGATCATCACCTTCGGTCCTTCGCTCCCCACTCCTTTAATCACCTTCGCCCCCCACTCCTTTAATCACCTTCCCCCCCACCCCTGTTAAACGACCTTCACCCCCACCACTGTTGAATCACATTCCCCCCCCACCCCTGTTGAATCACCTTCCCCCCCCACCCCTGTTTAATTCCCTTCTTCCTCAACCCCCTTATAATCACATCCTGGCATGTGGCAAGGAGCTTCCCACCCTCGCTATAGTCACCTTCTTCCCCTCCCCTCCCCTCACCCCCGACCCCCCCTCCCTCTCCCTCGTTATAATCACCCTCTAAAGGTGGCGGAGGACAGGGAGGTCAACCGCGTCTTGGAGGAGCTATTTTCAGAAGAGGTGTGTTGAGGAGAGGGGGGACAAAAGGGGGAAACGTAAGGGGTGGGAGCCACGAGCGGGGGAAGGGGGTTAGTGTGCCACACTTGAGTTGACTCAAAAGCCTCCTTTGAGGATACGGAGGTCAATCGAATTTTGGGGGAGCTTTTCTCAGAAGGGGTGCGTTGAGGAGAGGGAGAGGAGGGAGGGGGGGGGGAGGGAGGGGGGGGGGAGGGGGGGAGTGGCCTGTGGCTTCTGATTTTTGAGTCGACTCAAAAGGCACCTCGTGGCGGAGAGGAACTCTCGTTTTTTGAGCCGCCTCAAAATACACCTCACTGCACGGGGGGGGGGGGGGGAGTGGCCTGTGGCTTCTGACTTTTGAGTCGACTCGTGGCGGAGAGGAACTCTCGTTTTTCGAGGTCGCAGTGAGAGCGCGCCAGCGCATGGAGATCATCATGGGCTACCGGCTCTTCACTGAACCCCTCTGCACCCCTCTGCACCCCTCTGCACCCCTCTGCACCCCTCTGCACCCCTCTGCACCCCTCTGCACCCCTCTGCACCCCTCTGCACCCCTCCGCACCCATCTGCGCCCATCTGTGCCCATCTGCGCCCATCTGTGCCCATGCTCCCTACCTTTCAGGGCAACGAGATGTACATCCGGCCGGCCGAGCTCTACCTGACAGACGGCGAGGAGCTGTCCTTTTTCGAAGTGGCGGTGAGAGCGCGCCAGCGCATGGAGATCATCATTGGCTACCGGCTCTTCACTGAGGACGAGGCTGTGCTGAACCCGCCTGACAAGGCCGAGAGACGCACCTGGTCGATTCAAGACACGTTTATCGTCCTCTCTTTCAACGAGTAGCTGTGGCCTTTGTATTACGGTAGTTCAGCGCGTGGGCTTTCAAGAATGGAGCTCAGCGCATGGAGAGGAGATCATCATCGGCTACCGGCTCTTCACTGAGGATGAGGCAGTGTTGGAACTGAACTGAACCCGCCTGACAAGGCCGAGGGAGGGACACGCCTGGTCCATCCAAGACACGTTTATTGTCCTCTTGTTCAACGAGTAGTCGCAGTTTTGTTCTAGTTTTTTCAGGCGCCTTAAAAGAGGAGCGTACGAACATACGGTACCGGTACGATCACGCACTGAGAAGGATGTGGCAGTGTACATCCTGCCTGATTAAGGCCGAAAGGCACACCTGCTCCATCCAAGACACACTCATCGTCTTTTCTTTCTTTGGATTACAATCGCGCGTCAGCTTTTTTAGTCGACGCAAAGGTCGGGCATCAGTACACTCACATTCTTTTGCTTTTCAATGTAGTGCAGCAGCAGCCCGTGTGGTTGCTATCCTGGGTGGGTGGGATGGTGTGTTTCTGGGTGTAGTCCCCTTTAAAGTACACTCTGGTTTAGGGTAGTCCTTATATAAGCATCTTTGGGTAGTACCGCTATTCGTTAACAAATGGCACATACAACAACACAGCCTGCTTGTACTGACTTGTGTAGATATAACGCCATTGAATCTGCTTTGCCTGGCTATAAAAAGGGATTCTTTTACACTCAGATGTGTGTGCGTGCAACAACCTAACAACCTGTGGTTAGGGATACATTCCATTCCATGCTCTGCTTCGACAAATGTTTTTAGTAAAACACAATGGTGAGGCTCTGATATGACATATTCCGTACCTCTCTGTTAAATGCTGGTTTTATTGCCTTTTACCTACATAGTACCAGCATTGCTGTATTGTTAGGATTTCAACGGAGCGAGAGAGTTGCGCTTATGTCAATGCAGCGAGAGAGTTGCGCAGATGTCAATGCAGCGAGAGATTCACAGGAATTACCGGTATGCCAAGGTCACCAACATGTGTCACAGACAAATTAGAAGTGACATTTGGGACAGCTCCAAGATTACCGCAGGTGTTACTGCAGGTGCCACAGAAGATGCCACCTCAGATGCCACCTCAGATGCCACCTCAGATGCCACCTCAGATGCCACCTCAGATGTCACAGCAGAGGTCACAGAAGGTGCCACAGCAAGGTCACAGCAGGTGTCTTGCCAGGTGTCACAGCAGGTGTCACGCCCAGGTGTCACAGCAGGTGTCACAGCAGATGCCACGCACGGCTGGTGTCACAGCAGTGAGAGCTTGGCGAGTGTAAGGGCAAGCACACGCACTCCGTTGAGGAGGTTAGCCTTTGATGTGAACTCATCCGGGCGGTGGCTCACACCTGAAAGAAGAAGAGGGTGAAGGAAGCGAATATAAAGGAAGCGAGGGACTGGTGAGGGCGAGCACACGCACACCGTTGGCCTTGGCCTTTGATGTGAACTCATCCGGGCGGTGGCTCACACCTGAAAGAAGGGGGTGAAGGAAGCGAATATAAAGGAAGCGAGGGACTGGTGAGGGCGAGCACACGCTCACCGTTGGCCTTGGCCTTTGATGTGAACTCATCCGGGCGGTGGCTCACACCTGAAAGAAGAAGAGGGTGAAGGAAGCGAATATAAAGGAAGCGAGGGACTGGTGAGGGCGAGCACACGCACACCGTTGGCCTTGGCCTTTGATGTGAACTCATCCGGGCGGTGGCTCACACCTGAAAGAAGAAGAGGGTGAAGGAAGCGAATATAAAGGAAGCGAGGGACTGGTGAGGGCGAGCACACGCACACCGTTGGCCTTGGCCTTTGATGTGAACTCATCCGGGCGGTGGCTCACACCTGAAAGAAGGGGGTGAAGGAAGCGAATATAAAGGAAGCGAGGGACTGGTGAGGGCGAGCACACGCTCACCGTTGGCCTTGGCCTTTGATGTGAACTCATCCGGGCGGTGGCTCACACCTGAAAGAAGAAGAGGGTGAAGGAAGCGAATATAAAGGAAGCGAGGGACTGGTGAGGGCGAGCACACGCACACCGTTGGCCTTGGCCTTTGATGTGAACTCATCCGGGCGGTGGCTCACACCTGAAAGAAGAAGGGGGTGAAGGAAGCGAATATAAAGGAAGCGAGGGACTGGTGAGGGCGAGCACACGCACACCGTTGGCCTTGGCCTTTGATGTGAACTCATCCGGGCGGTGGCTCACACCTGAGGGGGGAATGGAGACAAGGAGAAAAACATAAATTTAAGCAGCCACAGAGCAGACATCACAGCAGATGTCACTGCGGGTGTCACCGCCGGTGTCAGTGTCACTGCGAGTGTCATGGCAGGTATCACTGCAGGTGGCTTACACCTAAGGGAAAAGGGCAAAAGTGGAAAGAAATAGAAGGGGTTACAAAAGAACGAGGAGAAGTCAGTAACTACATATTCATAATGTAAGTTTTTTGTTTTTTTTTTTTTTTCAATAAGTAAGAACAAAAGTAGCGGTAGTATGCTAGTCTACTAATTAGTGATGCAGGTTACTATAAAAGCTGATAATTTTTTATAAGAAGCATCATCAACCTTTACGTGACCGAATGATACCTCACACAGCTGGAATCCAGCTGTGTCCACTTGTTCCAATCATACAATCATACGCAAAATGTATCTTGTTGTTTACATGCATCAACCCAGCGCACATACCTGACAAAACAAGCTTACCTCCTCGGCAGGGAATGAAGATCATGCCTGTTGGCGCCACCCTGTGGTTAGAATGGATGGAACGGGGAGGGGGGAAGGAGGGAGGGAGAGGAGAGAGTGGTGGATCAGGCAGGGGAATCCATCCCTTCCAAAATACAAGCTTACCTCCTCTACAGGGAATGAAGATCATGCCTGTTGGTGCCACCCTGTGAGTAGGGGGCCGGGAGGGGGAGGGAAAGGAGGGAGGGAAGGGTGGTGAATCAGCAGGGGAATCTCTTTCCACATAAGGCAACGGCACCTCCTCGGCAGGGAATGAAGATCATGTCTGTTGGTGCCACCCTGTGGTTAGGTTAGGATGGAACGGAGGGGGGGTGGGGGGAAGGGAGGGGAAGGAGAGAGTAGTGGATCAACAAGGGAACTCTTCCCTTCTGAAAGACGAACTTACCTCCCCGACATGGATTGAAGATCATGCCTGTTGGTGCCACCCTGTGGTTAGGTTAGGATGGAACGGAGGGGGGGTGGGGGGAAGGGAGGGGAAGGAGAGAGTAGTGGATCAACAAGGGAACTCTTCCCTTCTGAAAGACGAACTTACCTCCCCGACATGGATTGAAGATCATGCCTGTTGGTGCCACCCTGTGGTTAGGTTAGGATGGAGGGAAAGAGGAGGGGTGGGGAAAGGAGAGGACGAATGGTGGATCAACAGGGGAGCTCCTCCCTTTTTCTGAAAGACCAGCATGGAAGGGGTCACTCCTTGCCATGAACAGTAACCATACAGTGACATGACACGAACAGTAACTAACCTTGACATGAACAGTAACATGACGTGAACAGTAACACACCTTGCCATGAACAGTGCATCGTGATACCAATGCATAAGAGTGCACATGAACAATAACCACACACCACATCTGCCCATGAACAGTAGCCACACACACCACACCGCACCTTGCCATGAACAGTAACACACCTCGCCATGAACAGTGCATCGTGATATGCCCGGCTGACCATGCGCCGGTGGCTCAGCCCCAGCTCCTGCGCTGCAGACAAAACAGCTGACGTCACCATGCTGCTGCACTGGGTGGGCGGGTCGGCATTGACCAGCTCCATTCTGAACGAACGGGGGGAGGAAGATATGGGAAAGGATGGACGGGAGAGAAAGAGGCAGGCATGAGCAGAAACGTCTGAACATTTTTCTCGAATCTACAAAAGAGGCAGAGGTGAAAGAGAAAGGAATGTGAGCGATCTTGACTCTTGAAACCAGAATTCCCTCCTCACACCAGACTCCTTCTCCCATACAACATTCACTCCCTTCCCTCACCTCTCCACCTTCACTTTCCGCCTCGCAGCAATGCTCCTGGCAGCGTCCATGACCTTTGAAACCACGCCATCCCTCCCTCACAGCACCGACCATGACTTCCCCTGTCCTTACTCATCTCTCCAGCGTGACCCCACCGTCTGCCACCAATGCTCCTGGCAGCATCCATGACTCTCGAAACCACCCCATCGCTCCCTCACAGCACAGACCACGAATTTCTCTCTGCCTCCTCACCTTTCCACCTTCACTTTCCGTCTGCCACCAATGCTCCTGGCAGCCTGCATGATTCTTGAATGAAACCACACCATCCCTCCCTCGCACCACTGACCCTTCTCCTTTAAAATAGCCACTCGCTTCTCTCACCTCTCCAGCGTGACCCCCCGCCTGGCAGCAATGCTCCTGGCAGCCGCCATGACTTTTGAAACCACCCCATCCTTCCCTCACAGCACAGACCATAAAATTCGTTCTCCCTCCTCACCTCTCCACCGTCACTTTCCGTCTGCCAGCAATGCTCCTGGCAGCATCCATTGCTTTTGAAACCACGCTATCCCGCCTCGCCTCGTCAATGTCTCGAATATCTGCAGCAGCAGCAACACCAGCAGCAAGAAGCGATGGGGAACATATTGGCAGTGGGAGGGGAAAGTGGGGTAATAGGGGATTTACTGACTGCCCACACCACGCCATCTCGCCTTGCCTCGTCAATGTCTCGAATGTCTGCAGCAGCAGTGCCGGCAGGAAGAGATGGGCCACAGTTTGGCGGGGGCAGGGGAAAGTGGGGTAACAGGGGAGGATTCACTGACTGCCCACACCACGCTATCCCGCCTCGCCTCGTCAATGTCTCGAATATCTGCAGCAGCAACAGCAGCAGCAGCAGCAACAGCAGCAACAGCAGCAACAGCAGCAACAAGAGACAGGGCACACGGAGGTGAGGGGAGGGTGGGGGTTGTGGGGTAATCGAAGATTTACTGACTGCCGAAACCACACCATCCTCCCATCAGTAAATCTTATAGCCTCAGCAAGGTGATTTTGAGTCGACTCAAAAGTAAATCTTGTAGGCTTGTCAATGTGCCTGATGTCTGTAGTAGCAGCAGCAGCAGCAAGAGATATCTGCGGGGGTGTTGGCAATAGAGGTTGGGCAGACGAAGGCCGTGGGGCTGGGTGGAAAGGGGGGGAGGGTTTGGCAACAGGGGAATTACTGACTGCCAACACCACACCATCCCGCCTTGCCTCCTCAATGCCTCTGGTGTCTGCAGCAGTGGCAGCAGCCGTGGCAACGAGGTGAATTTTGAGTCGACTCAAAAGTCACCTGAGTCGACTCAAAAGTCACACCATCCCGCCTTGCCTCCTCAATGCCTCTGGTGTCTGCAGCAGCGGCAGCAGCCGTGGCAACGGCAACGGCGGTAGCGGTGGCAGCAGAGAAAACGAGAAGGGTAGACTTCACAAATGCACCCCAGATGTTCAGGGGCGGTACAAACTGTACACACATTACTGATAGAATATGCACACAGTTGACTTTTGAGTCGGCTCAAAAGTCAAAAGTCAACTTTTGAGTCGACTCAAAAGATGTTCAGGGGCGGTACAAACTGTACACACATTACTGATAGAACATGCACACATGTTATATTTTGATATCAGATAGTCCCTAATACACATACACACATGTATCACTGAAATATACACCCACCCACCAACTTTCAACCGTACGACTCTTTCAAATACTCGTCATCCAGTGCAACCACTCACACCCCCTTTCAACCACTCACCATCCCTTTCCACCACTCACCAATCTCCAAGTGTGCATGGCGAGGCACGCTGTTCACTGCGTTGGGCTGAAGAATAAGGCGCCCTGTGAGGAGCCGGGGGGGAGGGGGAGGAGATGGTGCAGAGCAGGAGAAGGGTAAAGGGTGATCAAGGGGGAGGAGATGGTGCAGAGCAGGAGAAGGGTAAAGGGTGATCAAGGGGGAGGAGATGGTGCAGAGCAGGAGAAGGGTAAAGGGTGATCAAGGGGGAGGAGATGGTGCAGAGCAGGAGAAGGGTAAAGGGTGATCAAGGGGGAGGAGATGGTGCAGAGCAGGAGAAGGGTAAAGGGTGATCAAGGGGGAGGAGATGGTGCAGAGCAGGAGAAGGGTAAAGGGTGATCAAGGGGGAGGAGATGGTGCAGAGCAGGAGAAGGGTAAAGGGTGATCAAGGGGGAGGCGAGGCACGCTGTTCACTGCGTTGGGCTGAAGAATAAGGCGCCCTGGGTGTGGGGGTGCATCGGTGTGGAGGGGGCGTGGGAGTGCGGCAATGGTTGGGAGTAGGAAAAGGGAAAGGGGTAACTAAGGGTGAGGTGGGAGGGGCGCTGTTCACTGCGTTGGGCTGAAGAGTAAGGCGCCCTGGGTGTGGGGGTGCATCAGTGTGGAGGGGGCGTGGGAGTGCGGAAATGGTTGGGAGTAGGAAAAGGGAAAGGGGTAACTAAGGGTGAGGTGGGAGGGGCGCTGTTCACTGCGTTGGGCTGAAGAATAAGGCGCCCTGGGTGTGGGGGTGCATCGGTGTGGAGGGGGCGTGGGAGTGCGGCAATGGTTGGGAGTAGGAAAAGGGAAAGGGGTAACTAAGGGTGAGGTGGGAGGGGCGCTGTTCACTGCGTTGGGCTGAAGAATGAGGGGCCCTGTGAGGGGGGTGATATGGGATGGCATGAAGTGGTATGGGATGACGTGGGACGGCATGGCATGGCATGGCATGGTATGGCATGGCATGAAACAGAGCAGAATCCGGGGTAAGGAGAAAGAATCAATAGCATGTGTCCAATGGTCTCTGTTCCATAGGTGTGGGGGGCACGCATAGCACATGCATCACTCACTCACTAGTACCTGGGATATACCTGTGGCATACCTGTGGTTTTTAAGGGTATATTTGTGAAATACCTGTGGTTTTCTGGGGTATACCTGTGGTCCCCACTGTGTCGTCTGCCTTGGTCGCCAGCACAGCAGCCTCAACAGCCAATGAGAGCTCAGCAGCTGCCAGTCCCGCATCATTCCTGGGATAGCAAGTGACAGCAAGAACAGGGGGCGTTTGGCGGGAGGTGTGGAGAGGGATGAGGGGGAGGTGAGGAAGAGGGGGGGAGTGCAGAGGGAGAGTAAAGAGCTCAGCAGCTGCTAGTCCTGCATCGTTCCTGAGATAGCAAGCGTCAGCAAGCAAAGGCAGGGGTGGGCAGGATTGAGGGTGGAGATTGGTGGGGGGAAGGGGGATTAAGGGGAGGGGAGGAGAAGGGGAGTTCTCATCAGCTGCCAACCATGCATCGTCTGCTTTTGAGCTGACTCAAAATCAGCTGCCAATCCTGCATTGTTCCTGTGATAGCAAGTGAGAGCAGGGGAGGGTGTGCAGAGGGGGAGTAAAGATCCTCAGCAGCTGCCAATCCTGCATTGTTCCTGGGATAGCAAGTGATGGACACGGGGGAAAAAGGGGCCCCCCTTTCACTGAATTTCAAGGTTTCAGATGTTACGAAACCCGAACACACAACACACACCTGTGCTTCATGAGTAGGGCGCCAGCATGCCTCTCAGCACACCTTAACAAACCTCAACACTCCTCAGCACACCTCAACACCCCAATACACCGCAATACACCTGAGCAAACCTCAACAAACCTGTGCTTCATGAGCAGCGCAATGGCGAGCCCCCCTCCTCCACTGAGAGTCAGCATGAACACTTCACATCGAACCATCTAAACGCACCTCAACACTCCTCAGCGCTCCTCAACACTCCTCAGCACTCCTCAACACACTTCAAATCGACACACCTCAACTCACCCCAACAAACCCCAGCACTCCTCAGCACACCTGTGCTTCATGAGCAGGGCTCCAGCATGCCCCCCGCCTCCACTGAAGTCGACCATCAGCGATGCTGGTGCCGTGCTGCTATCGCCCTCACTATGCCATGTACTCACGCACACCCCAACACATCCCAACACATCCCAACACTCCTCAACACACCCCAACAAACCTCAACACACCCCAACAAACCTCAGCACACCTGTGCTTCATGAGCATGGCTCCAGCATGCCCCCCCCCTCCACTGAAAATGAGCATGAACACTTCTAATCACAGACTGCAGCACACCGCAGCACACCACAGCACACCTCAGCACACTGCCACACACCTGTGCTTCATGAGCAGTGCGCCAGCATGGCCCCTCCTCCACTGAAAGTCAGCACCACTTCAAATCCAACTACCTGAACGCACCTAGACAAACCGCAGTACACCTCAGCACACCTCAGCACACCTCAGCACACCTGTGCTTCATGAGCAGTGCGCCAGCATGGCCCCCTCCTCCACTGAAATCCACCATCAGCGTTGCTGATGCTGCTATCGCTGTCACTATGCCAATGTCAAGCCCTGCATGCATGATCCACGAGAATGTGTATGTATTGTCAAGTAGGTATCAGGTATGTATACGCGTACAGCCTTTTGACCACCATCAGCGTTGCTGGTGCTGCTATTGCTGTCACTATGCCAATGACCAGCCCTGCATGCACGATCCACGAGTACATGTGGTAATGCATGTGATGTATATGAATGTAATGTACATGCGTACGATCTACATGTGTATGTATGATATTCAAAATGCACGTGAATATGCAATACATCGAGGTGTATTTTGAGGCGCCTCAAAAAGGCGCCTCAAAATACACCTCACTGCTCGCGGTTTTGACGCGCCTCAAAATGCACGTGAATATGCAATACATCGACCAACAACGCCTTGCTGGCATTGCCACCACTATCCCTATGTTGTTATCCTTACCACCACACACAATTAAAGATGTGTATAAGCATTGACATTATATACATACCTGTATACATATTATAAACGTACGTGTACACTACATAAAGAATTACCTTGCTCTTCCAGTAGCGGCCCCTGTTCAATATGAAGCTCCACAAAAGCGCCCACTTGCTCCCGAATCAAAGCCACGGCTGCTACCGAACCTGCGTTAAGAGCCTCTCCGTAACCAGCTTCGGCGGCAGCCTCGGCGAACGGCTGGCCGTCTTTGTCCTGGAGCGCCAGCAGGCGATCGAGATAGCCAGTTTGGTTGGCCAACATGCGACTGGGGGGAATGAACAGTGAAACAGTGGAACAGTGGTCAGCAGTGAAATAGTGAAGTAATGAAATAGTGAAGTAATGAAATAGTGAAACAATGAAATAGTGAAAAAGTGAAATAGTGAAACAATGAAATAGTGAAACAGTGAAATAGTGAAACAGTGAAATAGTGAAAAAGTGAAATAGTGAAACAATGAAATAGTGAAAAAGTGAAATAGTGAAACAATGAAATAGTGAAACAGTGAAATAGTGAAAAAATGAAATAGTGAAACAATGAAATAGTGAAACAGTGAAACCATGAGAACATTGAAACAGTGTGTGGGTTGAAAATGAAGGGGGGGAGTGGACTGAACAATGAAGAGTGTGAGTGGGGGAAAAGGGGTGGTGGTGTGAAGTTGGTATGCGTTGAGGAGGGGCTGGGAAAAGGGAAAAATCAGGAGGGGGGAGGAGGATGGAATGGAGGGGAAAGAGGATGGGAAAGGACAAGGGAACGACAGGAGAAGGGCGGAGGAAGGGCAGGGGAACGGCAGGGGAAGGGCACAGGAAGGGCAGGGGAAGGGCAGGGGAAGCGATGGGAAGGGGCGGGAAAGGGCAAAAGGCATATGACAAGTGGGGGAGTCACAAATGGGAGCACGCAAGAGAGTACGACAGGTTGTTTTCCCTCCCTATCAGCACTACTCCTTTCCAAGGGCGTCTAAAACATGCTTTTCCTATCAAACCTAATCCCTCTTCCGCACACCCCACCTGCCTTGGGAGGCAGATCAGCGCATCCCCTCACACCTGCACACCCCACCAGCCCAGACATTTTTTTGTCGACTCAAAAGACCCAGCCATTTTTGAGTCGACTCAAAAGTCACACCCCACCTGCCTTGGGAGGCAGATCAGTGCATCCCCCTCACACCTGCGCTCCCCACCTGCCCAGGTCCCCCTCACACCTGCGCTCCCCACCTGCCCAGGTCCCTCTCACACCTGCGCTCCCCACCTGCCCAGGCAGCGTATCCCAAAGCGGGTGGGCTCCTCTGAAGTGAAAACAAGCAACACCTCTGCAGCCCTTGCCAGCAGCACGACTCCCACCCACATTCTCCTCCCCCATCCCTATCCCCAAGCAGATGGGCTCTTCTGTAGGGAACACAAGCAACACCTCAGCAGCCCTTCCAAGCGGCACAATTGCCACCCCCAGTCTCCTTCCCCATCCCTATCCCAAAGCGGGTGGGCTCCTCTGAAGTGAACATGAGCACTGCAATGGGGCAATGGGGGGATAACTCCCCCAACCCCTCCCCTACCTTCCCCCCACCCCACCCTCCCCACCCCCCCACCCACAACACCCACCTGCCCAGGCAGCCTATTCCAAAGCGAGTGGGCTCTTCAGAGGTGAGCATGAGCACATCGATGGGGCGATGGGGGGAGAACCCACTTACCACACCCCATACCCGCCCTTTTTTACCGCACAACACCCCACTTGATCCAGCAAGCAGGACAGCACCACCCACCCCCTCCCTCAGAACACCCACCTGCCCAGGCAGCCTATTCCAAAGCGAGTGGGCTCTTCAAAGGTGAGCATGAGCACATCGATGGGGCGATGGGGGGAGAATCCGGTCCTGTCGAGAATGGGGGGAGAACCTCCTTCACACCATCGCCCCGCTCCCCATTACCGCACATCACCCACCCTCTCAACCCACCTGCCCAGGCAGCCTATTCCAAAGCGAGTGGGCTCTTCAGAGGTGAGCATGAGCGATGGGGGGAGACGCCCTACACCCCATTCCGGCCCACTCCCTCTTACTGCACAGCACCCCACTTGACCCAGCAAGCAGCACAAGCACAACCCACCCACCACCCTCCCCAACAGCCCACCCTCCCAGGCAGCCTATTCCAATCCAAAGCGGATGGGCTCCTCTGAAGTGAAAACAAGCAACACCTCAGCAGCCCTTGCCAGCAGCACGACTCCCACCCCCAGTCTCCTTCCCCATCCCTATTCCAAAGCGGATGGGCTCCTCTGAAGTGAACATGAGCACTTCCATGGGGCAATGGGGGGAGACGTCCTACACACCACCCAACCCCTCCGTACCGCACAACACCCCCCACATTTCCAGCCCACCTGCCCAGGCAGCCTATTCCAAAGCGGGTGGGCTCTTCAGAAGTGAACATGAGCACTTCCATGGGGCGATGGGGGGAGAATCCCGCCCTGCACAAGGGGGGGAGAGCGGCGGAAGGGGGATATGGGCGCGGTTGTGGAAAGGAAGAAGCTCCCTTGTTTCTTCCCTTGTGGAAAGAAAGAAGTGAACATGAGCAATTTAATTGGTCAATGGGGGGGAAACGCTGCCCTAGAAAGACGGGGGTGGGGGGGGTGGGGAGAATAGGCATGAGAGAGGGGACGGAGGCAGCATATCCACTTGACTTTTGAGTCGACTCAAAAGTCAACTTAATTGGTCAATGGGGGGGAAACGCTGCCCTAGAAAGACGGGGGTGGGGAGAATAGGCATGAGAGAGGGGAGGGAGGCGGCATATCCACCACCCCATCGTTTCTTTTTTTACAGCCAATGGAAGGCGAGGGGAAGGAGGAGAGAGAGGGGACAATGCCAGCAAGACCCACCCTCCCAGCACCCCCACAACGCCGTCGTACTTGCCAGGCAGGCACGGAGGGACATGAGAGAGGGGAGCGAGAAGGCGTACCATCACAAAGAAGACCCACCGCTTCAGCGCCTGCACTGCAGCGATCCCTCCCAGCACCCCCACAACGCCGTCGTACTTCCCGGCCAATGGGATCGCATCCGTGTGCGACCCTGTGACAACAGCTGGCAACGATTCATTGGACCCCTCCCTGCGTGTGCAAAGGTTGGGGGTGGGGAGGCGGAAGGGGGGAGAGGAGGAGGAGGAGGAGGAAGTGTTGTGAAAGAAAAGGAGGATTGCATCAACGTTCTGAAGACACAAAGACGGAACCTGCAACTTAAGGCCCTGCTTGTAAAAGTGGGTCATGCATTTTTTCAGCAGGACTTTTCCACACTTACATTTTTCAGCGGGACCGTGCTGTTGTGAATGCATCGACGACAGAGCGGCCAGCTTGCCACTCCGGGGCAATTCGACACTGCATTCACCTGTGTTCTCTCTGTTGAGATTGAGTCGACTCAAAAGTATACATCGACCTGAGTCGATTCAATAGTCACGACGCTACATTAACCTGTCGTTCTGTATACATCGACCTGCCAACCTGCAATCTGCCATAGGAGCGAATGACACAAGAGAAGGCACCCTCCTTCTGCCAAAGCCTCACCACCATCTGCCAAAGATGTTGCCGATAGCATCCTCTCTTACACCCAGCCCCGCTTCCCTCATAAGCGTCTTCACGTAACTGTACAACACAAAGATATACACAGAGAAACGCACACATTTATCCACATAGACAGAGACACACATAGACATGTACCAAGTAAGTTGCTAGAAAGGTTGGAGCAGCAACGAAGGTCAGACAGTGTAGCAATACACATTGGGGAAGGCTTTTGAGTCGACACGACTTTTGAGTCGACTTTTGAGTCGACTCAAAAGTCAACGAAGGTCAGACAGTGTAGCAATACACATTGGGGAAGGAATGCGAAAAAGAAGCGATCCTTGAGTGCTCAGTGCACTACTCAGACGAATGTCGGACGAATGTCCGCGTCTGTGGACAGCAACACATATTGGGGAAGGAATGCGAAAAAGAAGCGATCCTTGAGTCGACTCAAAGCACTACTCAGTGCACTCAAAGCTCGACTCAAAGCTCGACTCAAACATTACTCAGTGCACTCAAAGCTCGACTCAAACATTACTCAGTGCACTCAAAGCTCGACTCAAAGCTCGACTCAAACATTACTCAGTGCACTCACTCTCTTGCCCTCACGTCGTTCTCCGTGAACAGTACACGAGTGACAGCTGGCGGCTCGTCATTGGAGAAGGTGGCGAGGTGGTCGATCTGAGGCAGGATGGAGGGTGGGTACGATCAGGGTGGGAGGGAGGGTGGGTACGATCAGGGTGGGATGGAAGAATGAGACGAATGTGGAGTGGAAGGACCTTTGAGGACTTTTGATGACCTTTGAGGACCTTTGAGGACCTTTGAGGACTTTTGAGGCGGCTCAACAGCGGGTGCGATCAGGTGGGGAGGATGGTTGAGATGAATGAGGAGGGAAACGAGAGGTGTTTGTGAGACGAATGGAAGGAGAAATAGTGGGGAAGAGGGGATGACGGAGAGGAGGGGAAGCGGGGGGGGGGGGGGGAGGGGAGTGGGCGAGGGAGGGGAGGGGAGGGGGAGAAGGGGGTGAAGGGAGGTGGGTGAAGGGGGGAGGGGATCCTAAACGCCAGCAGGGGGCTGGGGGGAGAGTGGGGGGGGGCGCGGTGAGGGAGGGAAGGGGATCCTAAACGCCAGCAGGGGGCTGGGGGGAGAGTGGGGGGGGGCGCGGTGAGGGAGGGGAGGGGATCCTAAACGCCAGCAGGGGGCTGAGGGGAGAGTGGGGGGGGGCGCGGTGAGGGAGGGGAGGGGATCCCAAACCCCAGCGTACCTGCTCTTGAAACAAGGAACCTGGGGGGAGAGTAGGGGGAGGGAGGTGAGGGAGGGGAGGGGATTTGAAAGCTCAGCCTACCTGTTCCTGAAGCCGGTCCACGTCGACAACAATCTCACGCGCACCAATCCCAGGCCCCGCTCCCTCCACGTATCGAAATTCCGGGTCCGTTTGAACCGACTCGAATTTCGGGTCCCTCTGAGTCAGATGGAAAATAGCTTTCCACTTTTCCACCTCCAAATGTCCTACTCCGTGAGGAAATACCCCCACAGCTGCTGCCGCGGCAATCGCGGCTACAACTGCGAGAACCGCGGCCGCTACAGCCGTTCCTGCTGCTGCGCGCGGCGTAGTAGCGGATTTGGAGCTCGAGACATCTGTAGCACCTGAGTGAGCTTTCGCAACGACCGGACGTTCCGTAGCTGCAACTCTTTCCGAGTGCCCCGGGAAAGAACGGTCACTGCTTGAAGTGGTAGCCATGGAGACTCGCAGGGAAAAAGCGTTTCGCGCAGGCGACAGAAGGATTTAGGAAGTGCAAGTCAGAACTACCAGTGTCGCTATGAACGAGGCGCGTCTCACACACCTTCATTCGAAATATGACCTGAAATTCATACGAAGCAAAGCCTTGCCAGACATTGTTCGCTTCGTTATGGAGTCATCAGTAGAAGTTGTCAATCATTCCAGCGATACCATTCCAGCAATCGTTAGGAAGCACATATTCCATATGAGGTGCATATATAGCACAATCTATTATTTATTGACATAATCCAGCATACTGATACTGCACCGAAGAAAGTCCTGCACAATATAATGATTCAAGCAAAGAGGTTTTGTTTCAGATCAAATGAAATGTCTTGTCCAAAACACCTAATACCTACTTTTCTCGCCGCTTCTATTTCTCCCTCCCTCTCCCAAAACTACGTAGAACCTGCTGCAAAACTCTGTCTGATTAGCTGGGGGACTGTCACTTGCAAGCCCCTTCCCAGCTGGACTCACCTGCACTCCATTTCCAGTCTCAACCAGCCAACTCGGCCGCCTCTTACAAATACTCTCCAACCTCTCAGTGGGGGAAAGCAGTTAAACTCCCAGTTAAACTCCTTTTAACTCCACAGCTGTTCCCCACTCATCCCAGCTAGCCCCCCCCTTCCTTCCCCAAGCCTATGAGCTCGGCACCTTGCAGTTAGCAAGCTTCCATCGCGCCATCTCCCCACTCGGCTTCCTCCTGAAACCCGCAGCAATGCCATTCCCATCAATACCTACCAGCCCAGGAGTCACATACTTGCCAACCGTCACCACCATCCCTTTGCTTCCCCACTGTCACCACCATCCCTCCTTTCCCCAAGCCCACTAGCTCGGCACCTGGCAGTTAGCAAGCTTCCATCGCGCCATATCCCCGCTCGGCTTCCTCCTGAAATCCGCCGCAATGCCGTTCCCATCAATATCCACCAGCCCAGGAGTCACATACTTGCCCACTGTCACCACCATCCCAGACCCATCATTCAGCTCATACACACTCTGAATCAACCCCTTTCCAAAGGTTCTCGACCCGACTAAAACCGCCCGGCAGTTATCGTGCAACGCGCCCGCTACAATTTCGCTAGCACTGGCCGTTCGGTTGTTCACGAGGACCGTTAGAGGGGCTCGAGTGAGCGGTTTTCCCGTGGCTTCGATGCTTCTTTTCTGGGGTAAATCACCCGGGCGCGCCTCGGTGTAGACCACGATTTGTCCTCGCTCGAGGAAGAGTTTTGCGATTTCTACCCCGGATTGCACGAGCCCGCCCGGGTTGTCCTGCAGGTCGAGGACAAAGGATGTCGCCCCGGCTGCTTCCAGCCGTTGGATTGCGGTTACCACATCACGCTTCGCCGCTGCGTTGAACTCCTTGAGCCGAATGTAACCCACAGGGCCGGTTGGGGCAGAGGAGGAGGAAAACACAGAAGAGAACATGGAAGAGGAGGAAGAGGAGGAGGGAGAGGGGGAGGAGGAGGAAGAAGCAGCAGAGGAGAAGTCTTGGAACAGACCCAGAGGAGAGATGGGGTCGTTTCGGTCGAGGCGGTATAGCACAGGCGACTGCACTTCGCTAGTGCGCGCCATAGTGAGGAACTCTATAGGGGAGCACGAGTCGTGGCGGATGGCGATGGTGACAGGGGTGCCCTTGGGGCCCTGAATGAGCGAAGATACGTCGAATGCGGACATGCCTTGTACGCTTGTACCATTCACTGAAACGAGCTCGTCCCCTTGCCGCACACCTGGGTTGAGCAGTGGAGAGAGGGGAAGAAGGGAATTCAGGGGTGGAGGTGATGGGATGAGCGAAGAAATATGTACCCCTGCTGATACGGACATGCCTTGTACGCTCGTGCCGTCCACTGAAACGAGCTCGTCGCCTTGCCGCACACCTGGATGAGCGGTGGGAAGGCAGAAGGAAGTCGGGGGAAGGGGGGGGGGGGGGGGGGGGGCGGGGGAGAAGGGGGAAACGGGGATTGCGGGGTGGAGGAGGGGATGGGAAGGGATAAGCCGATTTATGTCAAACGCTCATGTGCGGTCGAGAAGGGTGGTGAGGGTTGTGTTGGGACTCGCGTGCGTGTTGTTTTGAATGATGTTGTTCTCAGCCTCATTGACGCGCTCCTGAAGGAGGTGGGAAGTGGTGGTAAGGCATTGGATGGACAAAAACGTCTCTTTCAAAATCAGGAGGGCATGTGCTGGTAAGGGGTGCGGAGGAGTGATGGGGTGGCGGGTGGGCAGAGGTGTGGGGTAATGGTTGGGGGAGAGGGGGGATGGACACGGGGAATGGTGAGGGAAGGGATGGGGGGAGGGTCGTGGGAAGGTGAGGGGGAGAGCAGGGGACTTTACGATAGGAAAGAAGGGTCTTACCGGTTAAATGGAGCTCACCTGCTAGCTGCGCCGGCGAGCCGAGCACGATTCCCACCACTTTCAGCTTCACCCACCCGTCCCCCACGTCTTTCCCCCTACAGCGAGTTCGATTATAGCGAATAATTCAGCTCTTACAGGCTAAGATGAGCTCACCTGCTACCTGCGCCGGCGAGCCGAGAACGATTCCCACCACCTTCAGCTTCACCCGCCCGTCCTCCACATCCTCGCCAATGTTCAGCCCGATGCCAGTCACGTCGTACTTAGCTAATGCCGCGAATTGCTTAGGCGAAACGAACCGAGAATACGGATCGTTCAAGCTCGCCAGCATGCTGCTAATCATCGCGTAAGCTTCCCCCCTGCTTTTGGGGGGTTTCCGGAGAATAGCCTCCTTTTTCGCTGCCCAGGCCTCGGGCGTCCACCCCTTGTTCCGGGCATCGAAAAATGTTTCGTTGACCACTTCCCAGGCCTCCAGGACCACTGATTGGTCCGTTACTTCGGCGTCAGGGGCGAAACGGTCGCCTATGAGATTGATGGACGACGGCGGAGGGCAGAAGAGAGAGGAAGAGGAGGAAGAGGCAGTGCTGCTGGTGCTGTTACTGCTGTTACTGCTGCTGCTGCTGTCAGTGCTGCTGCTGCTGATGATGATGGGGCTACCAGTGCTGTCAGTGCTGATGGTTCTGCTGCTGGTGGTGGTGGAAGGTTCGGCGAAGGTCGACGTCGACTCTAACGGCGGGGCCGCCAGCAACGCCACTTGAAAGATTCTCTCTCCCTTGATATCCGGTATCTGAGCAGCGACGTTTGCGGCAAGGTTTTCTGAGCTCGCAAGCTCCTGTATCCGGTGATCTTTCAGACGATACTCCGCTGCGGATGTCGGGTTGGCGTATATCAGGGACAGGTCACTGGCAGGGGAGGCTAAGGCGGGGAGGGAGGAGCTGAGAAGAGGGAGAAGAATGCAGGAAACGGACAGCGAGGGCCACATACGGGGAGATGCTGTATCCCCGTTATTAAGTTCTTCCAAAGAACCGCACAGTAAGGCCCACAGGCGCGACGAGGACGATTCGAATTTCGATTGAACGGCATCGAAACGTGATTGTAACGGTGTCTGGGGCTCACACGAAAGCTCCTTCCTAGCAGTTGAGCCCTCGATTCTGTCACCTCCGGAACCTCCAAGTGTCAACACCGCAATAAGCTTATTCGAACGAGCTGTTGGAAACGTCGATCGTGAAAAAACAGGATCGTGCGGTGAATCAGGATCGTCCGATTCAAGTCGGTGATGATTACGGTGCGTGACTGAGCATTGCCGACGACCGACTCTGGGAACCGCGATCACGGCACGTCTAACGACATTTCTCGATGTGCTTGTAGTGAATGTGACAATGCCGGGTGGCAGGGTGTTGCGAGAGATAAGATGCGACGTCATTGAAAATCTCCGACCAGGGAAATCAGAAAAAAAGATGCCAAAGCAAGAGGCAAGGCTTCCACGTGGATCCCGAAAGGATTCCACTGGTCCCGGAGCTTGGGAAACTAGACTCAACGCACAAGGTCCATTGAAAGAAACCTTCGTAGTTCCTTCATATGATGCATCAATACAGGCCTAGAACACTTCCTGGTCCCTTCACGCAGGCACGTTACTACCAACGTCTCAATATAGCGTGTAAGAGAACCTGGATAAAACCTCCTGTCGGCCGTTCAAGCGGTCTAGAGCAGGCAAGCTGAGGAAGCGGTTTGGCTTAGGAGGAGACTGTTAGGATCCATTCTAGTTCAGAAATTAGGCAATAAGGATGGTTTCAGGACCTAGGTGAGGAGATGGGTGTTGGGCTGGTGGATGACGTGAATTGATAAGAGCGTGTATCAAACTTACTTCTGTTGCAATACAGTGAGGTTATATGCTTTTCACCACGGTACCTTAACAATCTAGAACGGCTGTATATGGTATTTTGCAAAGTCCAACGTCTGGGAGGAGGAACGTGCTGTGCGCATGCAGGCACAATCGATTCTTCGAAATTTGGTGGTTCGGGTTTTCTGCGACACTCTCAAGGTCAGAACAGCATCCACGTGGAACACGTTCTCGCCCCTGCAAAGCTTCCAACCTTGCCATTCGATACTTCTTGTAAGGAAACTCACTTTCCTTACCTCGTTCATCATCATTACAGCCTACAACACTCTTCAAAGAGCGTTCTTTCATCCATTACCACCTGTAAGGTCCAAAATAAAATAAGGGAACAAAAAAGGCCTGTTAGTAGTGGATGAAATTTTGGGTTGCTTAGCAACCCTTTACATTTGGTTTTTCCTTTTTTTTCGGGGAACTCATATGAACAGTGCATTTTTTTAGTCATTTTCCCAACGTCTGAAGCACTCGCTTTAACGTTCTGAGAACGAGTGCTCCAAATGTGTGGAGATGACGCACTGATACACAAGAGTCTCCGAAGAAGGTGAAACCAAATGAGACCAATTATTCCATGATCGTCGATAAATACGGCGAATAGAAACAATTAGTAGCCTCGCCAGGGCTGATTTTATCAGGGTAATTACCCTGATTTCAGGGTGATTTCAGACTTGTCACTTTCTGGTCCCTGAGAAATCAGACATTTTGGTCCCTGATCCATTCAGAGTATTGCTTTAGCGGACCCTGAAATTTTGTGTACACTCTTAGTGTAGTGTTTTCACGGACCCTGTCAATACAGAGTATGTCAGAATCCCAACCACTAGACCATTGGGATAAAAGGGCTTGTTTCAGTAGCGGGTCAGTGCGCCCATAACCCCCCAGGCAAACGCGCCTGTAACCCCCCCTAGGATCGATCGGGGATCTCACAGTGTAGCTCTACTGACACCCCCCCACACTGGGAGGCCCAGGACTGAGCACAGTGGCAACGGCCAACATGTGCATACACCGGGATTCGAACCCGAGACCGCTCTGATACCATGTTAGAGTTACTAGCTAGATGAGTGAATTCGATTAGGTAAGGGGGGGGTACAAGGACTATCGAGAGATTGTTGTACCCTCTAAGGAAAGAACCCTACACAACCTAGAGTGAAATAAGCAGAACAATATGTTTTGACAGAGTACGCGGCCTGTGGACCCTGAATGTGATGTTATCGGGACGAAGATTCTCGGAAATTTCCTCTTGATAACCCTGTCAGAATCCCAACCACTAGACAATTGGGATAAAATGGCTTGTTTGTGTAGCGGGTTTGTGCGCCCATAACCCTCCAGGCGAACGCGCCTGTAACCCCCCCCCTAGGATCAATCGGGCATCCACAGTGCAGATCTACTGACACCCCCCCACACTGGGAGGCCCAGGACTAAGCACAGCGGCAACCGCCTGCATGTGCATACACCGGGAATCGAACCCGAGACCGCTCTGATACCATGTCAGAATCCCAACCACTAGACCATTGGGATAAAAGGGCTTGTTTGTGTAGCGGGTTTGTGCGCCCATAACCCTCCAGGCGAACGCGCCTGTAACCCCCCATAGGATCAATCGGGCATCCACAGTGCAGATCTACTGACAAACCCCGCCTTCGGTTTGATTTCAGTACCCCCCACGTGCGTAATCGCCCCCCCCCCCCCCCACTGTTAAGAAACTAGCGAGAGTTTGGCTTAGGAGCCATAGTAGCTTAGGTGACTTGGTGAAGTTCGAGGGTGTAGGGTGTAAGGAAAATGTCGAGAGAATTGTGGAAGGAGAATAGTGAAACTAGCAAGGAGGGGGATACAAGTAGTAAGCCCTAAAAGGGTTATACTCACTTTTGAGTACCCCACTACAGACTAGACATGCATTATAATCTGACACACCCCCATAGTCAAAGTGGGATATAATCAGTACAGCATGCAGGCATAGAGCTAGAGTTCACAATAGGTAAGTAAGGCTAGAGCTAATCACAGAGGGCAAGTGAGGAGGAGGAGAGACTGTGGGGGAGAGAAGATGGGAGGCGACTGCTGACGCTGCAGACACACAGACGAGCTGCTGGCTCAGTGGCTACCGAAGCAAAGGCCCGGACTACAGGAGTAACTGGCTCCGCGGCTAAAAGTAGCGGCAGACGAGCAACTGACCCACAGGCGACTGGCGACTACCGGAGATTGTAGCCTCCGGACTGCTGGTGCTGCTGACGACAAGACTGCTGCCTCCACTTAACCTCCCCCAGCTGCCCAACGCCCCTCTCACACACCCCCTGCTCAAACCCTAGCCCTACACCCACAGCACCCCCTTAAACCCTAAACCCCAGAGTCCCACACAACCACCCCCCTCAGCGATAGCTGCAGCAGTGGGAGACGAAGGAGGAGGAGGAGGAGGGGACGGCACGCACAACCGACACCCCCACAACCATCACCCCCACACCCACCCCCCCACGGCTGCACCGGGTCCAAGAGCGGCTGCTGCAGGGGCCAGGGGCGGCTGCTGCTGGGGCGGCTGCTCCAGGGGCTGCTGCTGCTGGGGCGGCTGCTCCAGGGGCTGCTGCTGCTGGGGCGGCTGCTCCAGGGGCTGCAGCTGCTGGGGCGGCTGCTCCAGGGGCTGCTGCTGCTGGGGCGGCTGCTCCAGGGGCTGCTGCTGCTGGGGCGGCTGCTCCAGGGGCTGCTGCTGCTGGGGCGGCTGCTCCAGGGGCTGCTGCTGCTGGGGCGGCTGCTCCAGGGGCTGCTGCTGCTGGGGCGGCTGCTCCAGGTGCTGCTGCTGCTGGGGCGGCTGCTCCAGGGGCTGCTGCTGCAGCGGAAATTAGGAGGGAGGGGAGGGGAAGGGCGCGGCCCCCAGGGTGCCCTGACGGGCGACGTGCTAGGGAGCCGCGCAGGCCCCCGAAAGTGCCTCGACGGGCGACGGGAGGGGACCGCGCGCAGGCCCCTAAGGCGCCGTGACGAGGCAACGGGAGGGGCCGGCTCGCGGGCCCCGAAAGTGCCGCGACGAGGCGACGGGAGGGGCCTGCGTGCGGGCCCCCAAAAACGCCGCGACGAGGCGACGGTCGGGGCCAGTGCGCGGGCCCCCAAGACGCCGCTACGAGGTAGGAACCCGCCGCGCGCCTCGGGGCGCACGGCGGGCAGAAAACCGCCACGCGTTCCGAGCGCGTGGCGGGAAGAAAAAGAGAATGTCGCGCGCCACGGGGCGCGCGACACACAGTAGGGCAGCGGAAGCAAGTGGGCCCACAGGCCAGGAGCTTTAAGCTCTGATAGCATGTTAAGAAACTAGCGAGAGTTTGGCTTAGGAGCCATAGTAGCTTAGGTGACTTGGTGAAGTTCGAGGGTGTAGGGTGTAAGGAAAATGTCGAGAGAATTGTGGAAGGAGAATAGTGAAACTAGCAAGGAGGGGGATACAAGTAGTAAGCCCTAAAAGGGTTATACTC